ATTCACACCCCTTCCGATTTTAACAAAACATTGAACTCTAGTGCAAGTTTTAGCTTCTACAGGATTTTTCAAATAACACCTAAGGTTCTCCAAGTGTTTCAAGTAGAAAAACTCATGGGCTTTAAAGATTCTGCTTAAGAGCAGAGGAGATGGGGTCAAGATAAGTCAGGAGAAATTGCCATGATACATATCATCAATTAACAGAGAGGTTAGACTGTAGGTATTTTAAAGTATTTAACAAGCAAACAAATGATATATGGAGAATACATATTCTTAAATACATCTGAATAGAGGATATACAATAATTAGCTATCAATGGAAGATTTCTCAGCACAAAAAAACTTAGAGCTCACTATTCAACTGTGCCTATAACAGTTTTAATTATATTAAATTAAATAGATACAAATGTAATATATATGCATAGCAATTCTAAAATCAATAGGTGCTAAGGAGTTTACATTTTTTATTTCTAATTTTAAAGGTACATGCCAGGACCCAAATTTCCCATTAATGTGGAAGAGTGCACATTACATATTTTTCTCAGCATCTCTATATTTTCAGAGGAGAAAGTAGCCCTCCTACAACTTCTTTCTCTAAAAGGTTTAACTTACAACTTCCTATTTATTCTTGCCATTAAAGACTTGTCAATGTGGCATTGAGGGCCATTTGCAATCCTGACCCATTTGAAGTGGTTTGGTTAATAACCTCCAATAAAACCTAATATAGAACATTGTCTCTGAAAGCTCTGTCAATGCAACAAAGACAATGAAATCCACATTAATATTCTGTGACTCACAAACAGCACCAACTTTCCCTGGACATTTCTTTGGTAAATTTATAAGTAACATTTTTGAAAGCTTATTTATCAACAAAAATCAAAAGCATTTAAATGTCTCTTCAGGAGTGCATATCATGTATCAGGACAACATTACAAATTATCAACTCTGCAAAGATCTCTATGCCTTCAGTATATAAAATATTATGCAAATTAGTACAAATATAGTAATATTCATACATATAGGCATAGGATTTTTTCTTGGGTTACAGAGATTTATACTTACAATTTCCTGATAGGATGAATCAGCCCAGTAGTGGCTATCAGGAAACATATAGCCAAGAAAGGAGAAAAAGAGAAACACTAAAATATCAACATACAAGGCATAATAAAAATCCCTTTAAAAAGGTGCATTCTGAGTATACCACAAGTATTCACATTGAGTTAAGAGCATCAAGATCTGCTTCATGGAGGAGGTGATATTTGAGATGGGCCTTAACATAGAATAAGAGTCCAGAAGAAGAGATGGCAAATAGAAAGTGAAGAGTATTCTAGTCCCAGGGACTAGTGAGAACAAAGTTAAGAAGACCAGAAAGACGGTGAGTTCACAGAAAAGAGTGAGTAAAATCTGTCCTGCCACATCACTTGATTCATAAATGTGAATTTGCTCATACAGGATTGGCAAATGAGCAAATGATTTCAGAAAGGGGCAGAAGTCATCTAGGTTCTTACACAGTTCTTCCCAGCATATTAATGTCTGCATCCATGAGTAAAGGCAGCTGAATGAATGAGAAGCATACCCATACAGCTGCGGATGCCAAGCTCAGGAGCACTGGACCCATAACACAGCCTGCGCACAGTGCCCAGTCACTCAGAAACTTGCCCTGAGTTTGGCCAAGGCTCTGTCTTAGAAGTGTTCAACCCCCAATTATCCTCCATAATTGTGCTTTAAATTGTTTTTATTTATTTTCATTTAAAATTTCATTTAAATCATAATTGACATTTAATGTTGTTTGATATTAGTTCAGATGTACAGCATAGTGGTGAGACAATCATACACTTTACAAAGTGTTCCTCCTGATATTTCCAGTACCCAACTGGCACCATACCTCGTTATTACAACATTGTTGACTGTATTTCCTATGCTGTACTTCATAGCCCCATTTCTGCTTTGTGACGACCAATCTGGTTTTCCCAGTCCCTTCACCTTCTTCACCAGTTTCCCAACACCCCTCCCTATGGCACCCTTAGGGAGGCATCCCTAGGGGTGCCTCCCTAAGGCACCCCTGCACTTTCACTGCATCTGTGAGTCACAGGGTCAGCCCTTATGTACACTTCTCGCCATCAGACTGCCTTCACCTATGCCTTTTAAGGTAAAATTTCATGTTTACTAAAATAATCATGTATTATTTTCAACAACCTTTATACATGATGCTAGTATTTCAACCAAGATTGTTATTGTTTATTTTAGTTCTCTGATTACAAAGTTGCCTAAATTTTGAATGATTGCCCAATCCTATCTTCCTATAAGCCTTGGTGTTTGTAGAAATAACTTTGACAGGACTCTTGGTGTGTGTTTTCTTTTCAGGAGAACATAGATCAAAACTTAGTATAAAAACAAATCATTCTAGTTTTAGGGAAGAGATGGTTATATCAGCAAGATAAAAAAGATGAGGCTATACATCATAGACTGAGGAAATTTTAAAGATGATCTTAGAATGTCAGTGGTAGAAATTCACATCTATCCAGGAGTCAGTAGTAAGTATATAATTGTTGTTATGCTTTGTAAAGAGTAACCTTTCAGGGATATTAAAAAAGAAGTGTATCTTACTGTTTTTTTTTAATTTCTGAAAATCACATTAAGATTAAAGTAGAAAAGAATAACTGCTACAAGTAGAATTTATTTAGCTGAACACTGAAATGATGATGAAGTGTTAATATACTAAACCCTATATACATCTGCTTCTATGGTCAACAGGTCACATGAGGGAGGGCATGGCTGTTCTAAGTAGCATAGCCTATCCTCACCAACTTGACCAGACATCGAGGTTCAAAAGAGAAACCAAGACAAGTTAAGAAGCTTAGCATTTATTAATAATAAAAAGAATAGTTACTTTTCTTGGTGAATGAAAAAAAAACCTCTAGTATAATGTTACATTTTTGAAGTAGTACAGACTATACCTGGAAAGACTCATTTTTTTCTGCTTCTCAATGTCACCTGTTTAAAACCAGACTTACCTGGCTGTGGCCAATGAATTAAGTGAAGTAGGTTGTGCTACATCTATACATTTAGCTATTCTGAGCACAAAACTCTTTCCTGCAGATTTGTCTTTTGCATAAACACGAGAATGTTCTATAGCATTGGAGTAGGATGGGGCCTTAGAAATCATTCAGTAATCTAATTCTTTCAGCTCATGTTTGAGAAATTGAAACCTGAAGTTTTGAGTGACTTATAGCAGGGCCTTAGTGAGCTTCCATGTCAGACTCCAGAATCCCTGAATCTAATTTGCTTTTTTTAAATGCTATTTTGAGGGAATAAATAGATCAAGGACATAAGGGCACCAAGGTATAAATATCTCAGAGTTTTGTATAAGAAAATTAAAATGTGATATTTTTGTTTTGATTCTAATACTTACCCTGACATTGAGGTTTTAGGTTGTTTTTATTTTTGTTTTTTAAGTGATAAATAACAATCCATTGAGTCAAAGCATCCAGAAAACTGTCAACAGTGATTCCTATGTCCCTTTCTGGTTGTTGCTGGTAGCACGGCAGTATACAATGCACAATTCTAGTATTTGAGAACTCCAAAGAAACTTTTTAGTGGACTCTACACAACATCCTCTTTTCTCAAATGTAATGACCCAGAAATTAATAAAGTTGTTGTAATAATGAAGACCAATAATAACCAATTTATTTGCGATTGATTATACTGTTAATAGGTTGTTTTAGTTCCTCAAACTTTTAGTTAGCACTTTCCATGAAAATTGAAAAGCATCTTTAAGTTTATATTAGAAAAAAATATACATATTTGATCTTATTTCAAATTAGATATACCTTAAAATTACAAAGACCTAATTATGAAAGAGATAATAAGACTCCTTCCTTTTGTCTGGAGAATTTTATTCTTCTGTGGTCCAAGAATAGACAGAAAGCCAACTTCTCTAAAAGATGTAACAGCTCTCTGTGCACAAGTCCCTAATATTTTTCCACCATTATTTTTCTCATTAACCAAGGTTTCATGCAAATAATATTCTAGGCTCTTGTTATGGTTCAATGACATATCCGTAATATATCTCAATATCTCCTCTCTACCCTCAAGGTATTATAATTCTCCAACTTTAGAGATTCAAATATGTGCTAATATGCAAATATTTAAAGTTTAAAAAGTTTCTCCACAGTTGAGATTACTCTGTAACAATATCAATTAGATAGCTAGATAATAGATAAATAATATATAACTTCTCATTTTATAAAGAAATCTTTTTAAATATTAAATTTACAAGACTTATCTTAGATATTCTTTAATTATTCAACCAGTGTAGTTTCTGTGAGGCAATTTGCTATCCCAAAATCTCATTAGCCAGTATCATACTGGATACAGAGTTAGTATCTGGCACGGAGCCTGGCCCAAATTTCTAGTTGGTCTCATAGATCTTATATTCTAGTGAAGAGGACAGATCAACATACGCACAAATAAAGGGAGGTGCCCTTCACTGCCTGAATTTAATCTCTCCCAGAAAAACCTATTGGATATTAAGTATTCAGGGAGTAGGGACCTATATTCCACTATGTTTTCTTTCAACTCCAAGTTTGTACTTTTTGACCACCTTCACTCACTTCATCCAACCCCCTCACTGTTATTTTGTGTATATTAGAAATGTAATAATGCCCATTTTTAGCCCATTCAAAAACACCACTGGTTCAATCCACTGAGGCATAATTAAATGTCAATATAATCATCCACCAAGTACTTTAGTAAAACATACACCATTTAAAACATCAGGGGCCTAGTTACTTAACATCTAATGAAGAACAAATCATAGATGGTGGTTACTTAGTCTAGGATGGTGGCCATGGAGACAGAGAGACATGTAAGTATAGAAGGTATATTTGATATTGTTTCTGCCCTATAACAGCTTACAACTGAGCCTGAGAAGATAGTTTGATGTATTGAATACTGATAGACCAAGTATCCGTCTGATTCATGTGAAATATCTCTCTTCAGCCCTCAAGTGGAAGACAGCGAGGGGACAATTCAGTTTGATGGAGAAGGCTATGCGATGGTCAGCCGCCCCATTCGCTGGTACCCCAACATCTCCACAGTCATGTTCAAGTTCCGAACATTTTCCTCAAGTGCACTCCTGATGTACCTTGCCACAAAAGACCTGGTAAAGATACCCACAGCTTATCTTCCATGATTGAATTTTTTGTTTCTTTTCCCTAGTATTCTAATACAATTATTAGTTATTGTTAAATTGTCCATTATTGTTTGAAGAGTCTGTGATAGCCAAGAGTGAGTGATGCAGATAGCACATATATATTTTCATGGATAATGTTAATTGCAGATATAATTTAATTATTACTTATTTTCATTATAACTCCCCATATAACCCTTTCAGATAAGCACCCAGTAAAGATTACCCCAGTATGGAATCATGAAGGAGCAAAACTTCTTCCTTACTCTTCTTCTATAGACCTAAGTTGAAAGATGATTCTAAATATGCTCACTGTTTTTTCCAGGTCAATATTTCTTAGTAAATTCTTTCAGAGAGCATATTTTTTCATTTGCTTAATATGTTTTGAAAAGAACCCACTTTATACTCCTGTCATAAAAGGATACATCTTAGTAATTTAGTTGTGACCATTTGGACCATACTATCACCCCCACAAATATTCACAAAATAGTAATACCAATTCTATTTTCAAAATGGAGTTTAATTACCAATCAATACATTCAGTAATTTAGCTATAAGACCCTATTATAAACCCCACAAAGAAAGTGATTACCCATATATCTCTGTGTTTGTAATCATTGGCGTATTTTTACTCTATTAATAGAAAGATTTCATGAGTGTAGAGCTCACTGATGGGCACATAAAAGTCAGCTATGATCTGGGTTCAGGAATGGCTTCCGTTGTCAGCAATCAAAACCATAATGATGGGAAATGGAAATCATTCACCCTCTCAAGAATTCAAAAACAAGGTGAGTTTCTATAGCAATAATGCACTGTGAGCCATAATCATGTTCTCCAAAGCTCTCATGTACCTAATCGTGAAGAAGACCCTGTCTGTAATTTTAGGTACTCACAAATTCTGTGAGAAATTGGTGCAGTCATTTCTTTGGCTTAGATTACAGGTGGCCTAGCTTAGACATGACTGATTGAAGAGCCAAATGGTTCTCTCTCATTTTCTTTTGAAACTGAGAGCTTAATTTAAAAGCATAAAATTGTCTTACAACTTGTAAAATTATATCCTGTAGTAGGATTGAAAAGATTGTGTGCTTTTTTTCTTCTTCTTCCTTTGCTAAGACATTTCCTTTAGAAAGACCCCCCAAGTAGAGTTGTAGAGGTTGTTAGATCACAGCTACCCATCCTTTGCTTTTTGAAATGCCAAAAATTTGTGTGTGCAAATAAATGACTAAGAATAATGTAACATTTTCATGGTTACAAGACGTTTTAAAAACTTGTTTCCAAACATTATCTAATTGGTTCGTATCAGCAGGTATTTTGTTCTGGTGTTAGAGAAAGGGAAACGTAGACTTTAACATCACAGGTGTGTACATACATTGTTACAACCAAGACAGAAATCCAAATCCATTAGGTTTAGTGTGCTGCTATTTTTATTTAAGTATATGTTTCCCAGTTCTGTGTACTATCACATTGCTAATATCTGCAAATGAAACTTTGATACTTCTGTTTATATAATCAGACCTACTTAATTTTGACCATGTCAAAGTAACATTTCATGGAAACTTACCATATTTTTTGGACTGTAAGATTCATTTCTCCCCCTCCAAATTTGGGAGGAATAATGGTTGTTAATGCTGCTGTTGAATTCTGTTTACATTTATATTGGTGAAATATTATGTTATTTATGTTATTAAATATTTTACCACAATTTTCGCTTCAATTTTTTTCCTATTTTCCTCCTCTAAAACCTAGGTGCATCTTATGGTCCATAAATATGGTAGGTGTAACATTGCATGTTGCACCGTCCTTCATTCCTGCATTTAACAAATACCTGTCAAGCACCTACTAAGTATGGGGCTGGCCAGAAATTCATTTGGTCTTTTTTCTGTAAGATGGCTCTGGTAGTGCTCAGTTGTCTTTAACTTCATTTGAAACAATTTTGTTAGATTGTATTGTGACAGCTGTCATATCAGCATGCTTTAAAAAAAACTTATCAAAGTTGAATTTTTCTGTAGCCATTTTAATATTGAAGATGGAAGAAAACACACATGTTCAGTATATCATGCTTTATTATTTCAAGAAAGGTAAAAATGTAACTGAAATGCAAAAAAAATATTTGTGCAGTGTATGGAGAAGGTGCTGAGATGGATTGAATGTGTCAAAAGTGGTTTACAAAGTTTCATTCTGGAGATTTCTCACTGGACTGTGCTCCATGGTCAGGTAGACCAGTTGAAGTTAATAGCAATCAAATGAGACATTAATTGAGGACAATCAACATTATACCACATTGGAGATAATCAACATACTCAAAATATTAAAATCAATAAAGTTACTGGTCAAAATGAAACATATGTCTTTTATAGAAAAAAAAAACACATGGAATTTTTGGCCAATCCAATACTATGCAGGAACTAAATAAAGTCTATGACAATTTCTTAACTTCAAGGAGCTTTTAATCTAATGGGGCAATAGCTAAGCAAATCGACGGTTGTTGGACAGGAAGCTAATTGCTAGAGATATGTCTAGCAGGCTAGGAATCTCAGAAGACAGGGACATTTAAGTCAAGCAGAGAGGTCATCGCCCAGGGGAATACCCCTGAGGTGCAATCAGAAATTGAGGAGTTCGCTGGAGGGAAGAGCACCATTTAACATTTCAGAGAAGTAAAGTGAGAGTCTGGAGTGCCTCAGAGAGGATACAGAATACATTGTTTTCCAACTGCTTTTCCCTGGAATACGAAACCCTAGAGAAACCCCTTTTTGTATAAAAACTGGTTGTGTGCTTGTACAGATTGGAATACTGCTCAATATACTGTCCCCATATAAGAGAGACATAGTGCACATTGCATGTTGGAGGCTCTGCATAGTCAAAACAACATTTAACTCTGTTTAACCCAACATTTCTCAAACATCTTTGATTACCAGAATCCCTCCATTCCCACAATATTAGCATTCCACTGAACGCATTTTGGGAAATGCTTTAGTAACTACAAGTAAATCCACAAGCTAACAGGATGAATGTGGATATAAAATTATTAAATAGGGCAAGAGAGATACAGAGCCAGTTCATAAAGGGTCTTATAAAATAAACTAATGAGTTTCAAGTTTATTGTGAAAGCTATAGAGAAGTACTAAGAGTTTTAGTCAAGGGTATGATACCATCACACCATCAGATTTGTACTTTAATAATGTTTCTTTAGCAGCAATTCAGCAGAGAGATTCCTGACAGTTTTGGATGCTTCTGCAGTCTGCAGTAAAGCAGGTGAAGAGTGAGGAGAAGGAAACCAGGAGAATGGAGAGGAAAGAATGGAGTAGGAAGATATTAAGCATTTTAAAACTAAAGAGCTGTGTGATATACTCAGTGTGAATGCTGTTAATTTATCAAGAATGATTCCCTTTTTGTTCGTTTTGTTTTTGTTTAAATAACAAAAATATGGCTGTACCATTGACCAAGCTGTTGGTTACAGGAAAATGAATAGGTTTTCTGGAAGAGATGCTGAGTTCTATGTTAAACATGTTATGTTACAGGTAGTACTCTTACCATCTTTCACAGCCTAGGGAAGCTGTGTAATGAAATGGGCAGGCAGTTAGTTGTGCGTATCTGAGGATCAGCAGAGCTCTGGAGAGAGATGAGTAATTAGGAACTGTCATCATGTTTTCCATAGTTGTAGCTGAATAAGGATGGGAAAAACCAAGCTGACATATCTAGAATAAGATGGTCCAGAGCCCTGGAGCCAACAGCAGTATTGAAGCAGTACGGTAAAGGATGATTCCACAAACGGGGCTGTAAAGAATAAATGGAGAAAGGAGGAAAAAAGGAAGGTAGATTTTCAGTAGATCAAACTGGAGGCAGAGTGACCAATTAGGTCCAATTATAGTCCAGGCTGAAGGTGAATGATGGCTTCAAACAAGAGTTGCAGGGAGATATGACACTAGGGAAATAAAAAATAAACCCATGGTGTGATGGCTCTATACAGTTATTAGAATGTCTAAAACAAACAGGACTGGACATACCCAGGCCTGGCGAGGATGTGGAGCAGCTGGAATTCTTATGCACTATTGACAAGGACATAAAGTGGTACAGCCACATTAAAAGCAGGTTGGCAGTTCCTTAAAAGGTTAAATATATACCTACCATATGAACCATCTTAAGTATTATCCAGGACACATGAAAGCATATATTCATACAAAGACTTGTATTGTACCAGAATGTTCATAGTACCTTTATTTGTGATGCTCAAAAAAATTAAAAAGAAAAAACCCTCAAACATCCATCAGCAAGTGAATGGATCTACAAACTCCCACACAATGGAATAATATCTAGCAATAAAAACAATGAACTTAATGTATACATAATATGGATGAACCATAAAGCAGACAAAAAAGAGTACATCAATGTAAAATTATATAGAAAATGCAAACTAACCTACAGTCACAGCAAGCAGACACAGCCTACGTGTGGATGGCGTTGTGTCGAGAGGGACAGGAAGGACGACAAAGAGGTATAAGGGAATATTTGGGGTGATGGATACACTCATTTTTTATTGTGATGATTTCAGGGATATACATATTCAAAAAATTGTCAAATTATATACTTTAAACATGAACAAATTATACCATGTCAATTCTACTTTGGTAAAACTGTTTTAAAATAGGACAGATATTACAGTTATTTAGAAGACGAAATTAATAGCTCTGTTTTTGATTGATTAGATGTGTGGAATGGTGGGAGAAAGTCAGGATGACCATAATTTACAAGATTAAGTAGGGGCGGGGGGGTGGCCATAGTGCCACAATATAAAATGAATAATACATATTTGGGAATGAAAAGGTCATTTTGATTTGGAATATGTTTAGTTTGAAGTACCAAAGAGGTAGGTATACAGATGATGTTGTCTCACCTGTTGAATGTGGATTTTTAGGCAAAAACCAGGTTTAGGCCATATATATATATATATACAAGTTGTTATCATATGGGAAGCAGATATAAACTTGAGGGTACCCAGAAAGCTAAAACCTGAGAATTGGCCCAAAGATGACACATTAGAGAACATAAACATTTCAGAAGCGTTCGAAGAAATAGGGCCTGGGAAGGAGACTGACATTGGTGATGAATGGCAGAGAAGCTGGAGAGTTTGATATTATGGAAGCCAAAAGGAGAAACTTTCTAGAAGGAAGGAAATTTAACAATATCAAATGCTGCAGAGATGTGGACTAAGGACAGGAGGACCTGTTGGGTTTGTTGGATGTGAGGAGGTCACTTGGATTTGAGCAAGATCAGATTCCATGGATAGGATAGGGGCAGGAATTCAAACAAGGCTGCAGATAGGTGGGCCCTTGCTCCTGTTCAGCTACCAGAATAGTTGTTTTACGTGAATCATTCTCTACTAGTTGGTAAAAGTACTGTCCGTTGAAATTCAACGCTTCCTTCATTCAGTAGCATTCCCTGCCTCTGAGAGTCACTTAATAGAACCACAGTCCACTACCAGTAGAAGTTCTCCAGGTCCCACAAGTGCATTCAGATGGACAGATGTATGACTTCGAAAGATCATTTGGACCTCCAATGGACTCAGAAAGAGAAGGAAGGAATTACCAAAGTAAAAACAACTCGTTTATAATGACTCCGCATTGACTGTAAAGTGCTAGTTAGGCCATTACTCTGTGTCTAGTAGTTAATAAAACCCTTATTTCCCTGCTTACCCATAAATGATGTCTGAACTCATCAACACTAAAATTTTATGTTAATAGCTATTCTGTAAGGGAAAGAAGTAGGGCAAGAAGTAAACGCAAGTGTTAGCATTTCAATGCAGTAACCATTTCATCACTATCCCTCATGAAGGATAGAACCCTTCCTCTAAATCAGTAAAAATATACCAACCTATGTCTCTCTGCCAGAGTTAATGCTTGGGCCAGTGAGTTTCAATTCTATTGTGTTTCTGCTCTTTAACCAGTTCTTCTTAGAATGACTTCTAAAAATGTATGCATTCACTCAGGGATAAGAAGGAAAACTACCTCCAGTCACTGGCTTGTCTGAGATAGAGGCAGAATCTCATTTTCACAGACACCATTAAAATATGTACCTGGTCTGTCTGTAGAAAGAGGCTATCTTTGTGTTCCAGGCAACAGCCCCAAATGAAAACTTTGTAGATCTGAATAAAAAGGAATATGTATGAGAAAGTCTTGAAAACAGTGTTTTAATTTTTTTTTATTTTAGCAACCAGTCAGGTCAAAAATATATGTGTGTGAAGTGACTATGTATATAATAGTAATTAGATTTTAAAATCATAATTTGCTAAATATTTTTAATAAGACAATTATTGTTTAGGGTTTTTTGTTGTCTGTATGATTTTACAAAACTCTGCTTTGAGGATATGAGGTCTTAATAAAGTTTGGGTATTTTATTTTGGTCATTTTTAAAGGCAATTGTGCTTGGTTTTATGAAGAGACTTCCATTTGGAATTGAAGGGCGACAGATTACAATGGAATTTTGGAGTGTAATACTTTGTCTTCCAAATAACAGTATTCTAAAAGATGATGTGTTGAGGGAAAGTAAAAATAGTCCATGGTCAAATAAATGTAGCAAATACTTCTGGCTGCATGTCCCTGCTGGAGCATTATGTTTCATATCAGCACACTGAGAGATCTGGGTGGTCATAAAACTAAGATATATGTTTATTTTTCTTAACCCAGTGTTCATTATATTTACTTGAACTAGGAACATTCAAGAAACTAGCTTTCCAAAGAATAAACATTTAGAAATACCATTATAATCCATCTGGTTCAAATGGCCATTTTCAGACCCTTGCTAATTCAGATCCTATACCAAGCAAAGATTTGGAGGCCAAACCTGTCACGTTAATAAACTAATGTATCAATATGCATCAAGGGGCCAAAATACGGTACATGAAGCATTTAAAGTCTGGGCCTAAACAAATATTATGGTGAGAAGCACATCATTCAGAGAAAGCCTGGCTTGACTCTTCAGAATAATGGGGGAAAATCAATGAGAGAAGGGATTTTTTTTTCCACTTGCTGAAGAAAGCAGTTTCAACAGGGAAGTGCCTCTTTTTCCCTTTTTCTATTTCTGAATTTTTGTACTCATCATATTTGAAACACCTCTAAGACCTGAGAGAAAGCAATAAGGCATGAAGACTGTACCTCTCTCACAACACTCAGCACCCTTCATCTAAAATGTAATTTACAATGGGTGTGGACCCCATCATCTTGCAAACCAAACACTTTGGTGCACAACTGTCCCACCCACATTACTTGTGGGTGAGTCAAAGCCCCAGCACTCCTGCGGATACTGAAGTGTACAGAAGGAGCCACAGATTCAGTATATTAATAATCTAACTCCTAATTAGATAGTTACCTTACTATCTAATTATCTTTATTTAGTTATCTTTATTAGTTAATTATCTTTTTTTTAACTACTTATCTCTACTACAGAAAACTGTCAAATGTTTCTTTGACATTCACCTATCAGAACTTCTTCCTTTTATTGATTGGTTTGCCTTCATTTGTGTTCATGATGTCATTTTCACCCTCTTTTTGTGAATAGTTTAATAATGTATTTCATTGATGTTTTCGTTTCTGTAATTATTAAATAGCTGTATATGGTAAAAGTGCTTAAGAAAGTCAATGTTAATCTGAGAAATAAAGTAAATTTATCTTGCAGTAACAGCAGTGATATAGATGTGGTTGGTATTGCTCAAATAAAATGTTAAATTTCTTCTCTCTTTTACAGCCAACATATCAATTATAGATATAGACACTAACCAGGAGGAGAACATAGCAACTTCATCTCCTGGAAATAATTTTGGTCTTGACTTGAAAGCAGATGACAAAATATATTTTGGTGGTCTGCCAACACTGAGAAACTTGAGGTAATTTAGTATTTATTCAGAGCTAGATTAAGTTTTAATTAAGTGGCCACTATGCTGACTGAAGCTCTGCAGTTTAATTACAACAGGAATATCATATAATTTTTTTTCTGTAATATCATATAACCTTTAATTGCAGAAAGGTGTAATAAAAAAATCATCTTGCATGTTAGAACACCAGGATTTAGAAACCAGAGGATTAACTTGCTATCTTTGTTAAAGAGACAGATGAGAATAACTCTTTTCCATCCATCCACCTGATGAAAAGAATCATAGAAGTAATTAACGGTGGAGACTACAGTTGAATGTGGATCTTGTAATTGCTGTTCTCCTTGCACATTCACTGGAGATAATGACGCTGACATTGCTTAGTGTTCTGAAAATTAGTCAGTGTTCCAGGATGCTGTGAGCAGAACCTATTTTATTACTAAGCATTAGCATGATAATGGGAATTGGACTTTCCCATATGCCTAATGTTAAAGCTATATTAGTTATCCTCATGCCATGCCAATATTTTTTTTAATTTCACATGTTTTTTAGATTGTGGGATGGGAAGATGTATTGATCTCATAATTTGATTAGTTCAAAAAATAAATACAAGTAACTAAAAAAGGTTAGAAAGTATTTCACATGGTATTTAGCTTACTGCTTGTTATAAAAACATAAGAAATAAAAGTTATAGAGTAGTTGGTGCTTAATAAATGTTCATTGAATTTAATTAAAATGGGGTGAATTGGTATGGTTAAACCATTTACTACAAATACAAACTACCATGCTTTTAATTTTTGTATTGTTTTGTTTAGTTAGTTTTTAATGGTTAAAAAAGTCCTGTTTACATGTTACTACTCTAAAAAGACATGTTACATTTGGAATAATCTAAGAATAACTGAAATGTATGGTGATGAATTATTCCCATATTGTCCAAATGGGCAATGGAACTTCGGTCTCTTTTTGTGACACCTGGCATGCAGACTTCTCTCCATATCTAAACCCACAGACCAGATAACTGTGTAATTATCCAGTCTTTCAAGGGTATAACTTGATAAGCTTTGTGGTGCAAATAAACTGGTTCTGCATTTGTCTACAGTATAAGGTTTTTGTGTCAGAAATATAGATTAAAATGCCTCATCAGAAAAATCATTGCAGATCAAATGTATTCAAGTAGTGGCATAGTTCCCATCATTCAACAAGTGTTTGTTAAGCATCCGCTCAGGCAACTAGATAAATACTAGGGATCCAGCAGTTGTTCAGATCAAAGATTTACTTTGCAAGATCATAAATTCTAGATGAGTGAATTAAATATACGTAGTCAGAATAAGGCTATCCAAACATAGCTTCATTTATTCTAGTAAAGACTTGCTTTAAAGTACCATGAAGTGATTCTTAAGAATTATCTGCAAAGATGTATATGTGAGTTTTATTGAGATGAGTAGGTGTTAGTTTCCAGACTACATAACTAATGAGTCTCTATTACTAAAATGTTTTTACTTTCACAATACGGCAGTCATAAATATAATATTTCCATGGCATGGCACATTATTTCAGAACAATCTGTAGACATACATTTGTGACTAATCAAGGAGTCATGCATTCATAGTTAGGTGTCATTTTGCCCACAGACAGGATCTTAATATATTAAAGTTAAAAGATGTGCTAAACATGAATTATTTTTTACATATGTTAAGTTCAAGTTTTGAAGAGACAATATTTATATACTACTCATAAATACTACAGCATAGCAACATTATGCATTTTTCTATTCATAAGACTGAGTACTTTAAAAACTCATATTCCAAAATACAAATTTTCCAAGAGAATAGTGTGAGAAATGAGCATATTAGATTCTAATTACACTGTGGTCAAGGGTGTATGTCTGTTTTCTGTTCTGATGATTTTTAAATTCCTTTCCTTTAACAATCCCTGTGAGATATTTTTCAGAAAGATTTATAATTGAAGTTTATTTTACTAAATGAAAATGCAATTATAAGTAAATTGTGTTTTTTTCTTTTTTCTTTGACCTAGTATGAAAGCAAGGTAAAATTTAAATTTATGCATGCTGCCTTCAAGTGCATGGGTTGGGTAAATGTGGCTTTTTAGATAAAGCGGCGGTGCGGAATCAGAGCAACAACTCTGCAGCTTTATTCATAGGTCATTTCATGAGCAAGTAATGCATCCTGAGGTAGTTCTCATGCCGCCCTTTGCTCACAAAGACGCTGCTGCTTACCCATCATCAACTGGGCTGCAAGTGGACTTGTTTTACCCGCCAAGACGACGAATTTGCGCTGCTTATTTGTTCCACCGCCCACGCACAGCGCCCCCTGGTGCCCACACTCAGCAACACACGCGCGAAGGGCAGCTGGTCAGATTTATGGGCAGAATCTAGTTATCAGGAAGAGAGCAAACCATTCTCTTGGCTTGACCCCCAGACTCTAGTCTCTGTAGTACCATGCTGTCTGCTGAACAATCAACCTGTGCTTCCACATGCTTACCACTGCCTTGTTGCTTTTCGCAAGCCTGCAAATCTGCAAACGTTTACATGGCCCTTGCACCTCTTGGCAAAGCTGCTTATTTATTGCAGTGTTTATTTAGAATTAGCCTGGGAGCCAGATAAAAAAGAATCTCTGGAAATACTGTTGACTACAAGTGTTGTATCAATAGTGAAGAAGTTTGTGAAGAGGAGCTTCTCGGGAGCATTTTAATCCTTATTTGCAGAGAGGTGTTAGCATGAAAACTGTGAGCAGCAGACCCCTAGACCCCTGTCAGTGGCCCATCCAACCCCAGGGATGTGCAGGCTGGCTCACGCTGGCTAGAACTCACGCTGGCTCATGTATGGCATTTTGGTATTTCAGAGCCGAACTGTGCCATTTTTCTAAAAAGGAGATCATGAAGATGAACTGATCCAAGGAATGTTTTAAGCAAAAACTAGACTTTTAATACCAGAAACTAGAATATGTAGAAATGAAAGTATAAAAATAAACAACCCAAGTTGTTTCATCATGATACAGTAGTGAGACCAGTCCAGCTGTTTGCTGAGAAGGTGAACAGGCCAAGGCTGGTGTTCAATGGAAATACGTGCTAATAGAACTCTGGAATGACACGTTGTAGCTCTGTCATTTCATCTTTGAGGCAAACAGAGGAAACAGAGGCCTGTGGTTACCATTAGGAGTCTTATCACCATATGCAATCATTTATCCCCTGTGATTGTCATAACATTGAGCTTGCTAAATCATCGTATTTTGAAGTGGTTCTTGTATTTCCATGAAACAATGAACTATGTAACTTATAGGAGTAATTTTCTTATTGATAAGACCTCTGAAAAACTGTGATAAATCAGTCTTCCTCTGAAAGGGAAAGAGGAAAACCAATGAACACTGCAAGAGAAATCGACCCCTTTCCTCCCTTACGACAGTAAGAATACAGGCAACATCCTCACCCTCCAGCTGGGCATGTTGTACAAAATAACCAACTAACAGAACAGGAGGAGAAGACCTTGGGAACAAGGGGAAATGATCAGAGAAAATAAAGCACTTCCAGAGAGAGTAAAAAAAAGAGAAATAAAACAGAACAAATACCTGGCACGACATTGGTCACCTGACACACCCTGCCAGGGTCTGTGTTGCTCCCCGCCTGCTTTCCTTGTGCCCATGTCCTTTTTGTTAAGATGAAAAGGGAATCCTGGCATCACTGAACCATGTGCAGGGAATTAATTATTATCCTATTAATTATAATATTTTGGTATTGGTTGGACAGCTTTTACAGATGCAAAAATAGTGTTTTTTTCCTATTAATGTAGACCTGCACTATTCCATATGGTAGCCACTAACCACAGTGGCTTTTTAACTTTAAAATAAATAAAATGAAATAAGGATAATTAGTTTCTCATTCGCATAAGCAACATGTGACTAGTAACTACTGACTGAACACTGCAGAACAGAGGGGTATGTCCATCATCTCCCAACATTTGATTGGACAGCACGGCTGCAGATTAAACAAGGAAATTTCTTGATTATTAATGTACCGCTAGCTTCTGTTTATTGAGCGCTTATCCCTTTTTAAGCACTAGTAAGTTAAGAGTAAACATTCAGGTGTCATCTGGGTATAGAATCCATTTTGAACTTTATTGGAAAAATTGAAGTACGTTTTGTGCTTCGGTTATTTTATTTTCTTATTGCTCCAATATAGAAGAAGAATTTTGGGGGTCAATCTGTAAATCCAATTTTAAAGTATGTTTTTTTTAAGACCATGTAATCCAAAAGAATGTTTCTTAGGCTTTTAGTTAAAAAGCTTTAAAGAGAAATATAATATTATCTTATTCTTTAGCTAACACCCCTGTCCACCAAAAAAAAAAAAAATGTCAAAATGACAGAAATATTTTATTTTTAAATAAATGTTTCCAGATTTTTCTTCCTAAATTTTGAGCAATATTTTACTTAACATTTTGGGGATGTGGTTTGATTATACTGCTTCCACAACTGTCTGCTCTTTGGGGGGAAAAGAAATACAGTTTCTTATGCATACGAAGAATGAAAGAAGTCAGTTGTTTCCTGTACCTTGTAGTATTTAAATGCAGTGGGTAAGGTAATTTTTTAAAAGGACAGGAAGACTAATTAGCTAAAGGCTCCCTCTCAGGATGGTGTTAACATCCACTTTATCCATGCAGTAGAAAATGGGAGAAGCATAGTTTGCTGGGGACATGTGCGCACGTGTGCACAGCGCAAGACACGGTGCCTGCCTGTCTGTCAGTCAGCTCTGTGTGGCTTGTGTCCAGTAGTCACAGATGCGACACTGCCCTTGACCTACTAATGTTGTTTTTGCTTTCCATGTAACTTTTCAACAGGCCAGAAGTAAATTTGAAGAAATATTCTGGCTGCCTCAAAGACATCGAAATTTCAAGAACACCATATAATATACTCAGTAGCCCTGACTATGTTGGCGTCACCAAAGGATGTTCGCTGGAGGTTGGTTAGTGTATCTTGGCTTCCTGAATACATTCACATCGGATGTCACCTACTTAGTTTGGGTGCTCTTACACAGACCAGTCCCTTGTTAATGTGTTTCAAATCCCTACTGGCCCTAGTCTAGGCTATGTGTGGCTGATAAAGCAAGATTGAAGCACTTCTATAAATTCCTGTGATCCACCAAACTTAGGAAATGGTATTATGCAGACCCCAAAGTGTGAGCCAATTTCCCACATGTATAGTACTTTAAAGAATGTACTTTTAATATTCATCTCTTTTATGGTTTTCTCTGCCTTTCCAACACTACTTTTCCCTTTTCTTCACATTTGTCATCTCTTTTAGATTTATTTTATCTTTATGAACTATATATAACTTTTCTGGAATGTGTTAGTTTACACAAAGAGCTAGTAATAATTTACACCCTAATCATTAGTGCATAGCATCTTGTCTACAGCTTAGAAGTCAAACTGCCTTGTCTTTGAAAACAGCAAAGACTGGGAACCATAGGCAAAGTCTTACCTTTGACATGACTGCAAAGCCCCTTGGTATCAGCTGTCTGCGGCATCTTTTCTTTGTTGCCAAAGCAACCCAGCAGCCCCCTGATTCCACTTTACAATTCTGCCCTGATTTGTCAATAGGGGCTAACCCTAGGAGAGAGAAACATAGGCCCCAGCTCTGCTCTCTTAAAAGATCTATAAGCAAGAAGCCAATAGTCATTAGCAAATATTAGTAAGAATTTTATGGGAATTCTAAAAGTGATGAGATTGTTTACCAAAAAATAAATGTTAAGTATATCAATCTTATAAAATTTTAATTGCCCTGATATGATGCAACTATTCATTCAAGCTTCTGCGAATTAAAATTATTTTAAAGCATTTTGATGGAAAATGAAGAGAGAACAGGGAAAAAGAATAATTGGATCCACCACTGAGCCATCAGGCTTAACGACTGGAACAGAACTTCCAGGGTCTTCATTGTGCACAGTCACGGGCTCTGATTTGGGATTAGCCATAGACAGCCACCTTGAGAAGTCTGGGAATAAGGAAAAAGGAAATACATACAGGATTGAATCTCTAAGAATCCATACTAGGCTCTTAAAGAAAGTTTTACTGGGAGTTTTAATCTTCCAAAGGCTAACTCTCATTCACATGCAAAAGATATACACGTGATGATGGGAAACTGTCCAGAAAATGAATGCCTTGTGTATGTGGAAATGATGATTCTGTAAAGGCACTTTTCAGTAACCAGGAATTATTTTGCAACTAAAATATGAGGTACAAATTTGATGTGGATAAGTATTGAAAAGTCTGCACAGTAGTTTTATCTGAATTATCCAAAACTTTGTGATTTGAAAATTGGAATGGAAGATAGATTATATATTTTACAATACTTATGTCACTTAACTGGGACAGATGCCCTGCATTAAAGGATCCTTACTTTTACTCCAGCAAAATCCAGGACTTTTAAAATGAGCATTTTAAGCACTCTAAATTGCTAACTACATGAACTGGCTTAAATAAATCCTAGCACATTCATAAATGGAATGTCCTGCTACCATTAAAGATGATGACCAGGTCTGTGTTTACTGACAGAAAGTTATCTTCCACATACGTAATGAAAAAAAGTTACAAATGAATGTGCCTATCATGATTCAGTTTAAATGCAGAGAGGAAGTGGGCAAAGTTGTGGAAGATGAATGAATGCATTAGTGGGTGAATGAAAGAATGCATGAGTGGATGAATGAATGAACGAATGAATGATGAAAAGCTATATTCTCCTACACAGCTTTGGGATTTTTACCTTATCCCTCTCATACTGTGTTACTGTCTAAAATGCTAATGTTTTAATTTTATAATCAGCAAGGTCAATGATACTATTTTCATTTTGAGAAGAAAACTGTACTTTGAAATGTTTGGTTTATTTATTCTTAACATTTATATTTTATCTCATTTTTTTAAATTCTTCTAGAACATATTGATACATTTGATAGCAATGAACATCGTTACCTGGGGTTCATCACTGAGGAGGAACACAGAGCAAGGCCATGGTCAGAGTCAGCTATAAAATATAAAAATAGTTGACGGATGATATTCATGAGGTTAATTGTTTTCAAGGGAAATTTAGCAAGATAAATTTAAACCAAAAGAAAATTTACCTACCAATAATAATCTTCCATATTTTACATCAAAAGTTCTAGATAGAAACAGAGGCCAGAATTTTTATTTTAACCCAGACTGCCCAGAAAATTTAAGTTAGAGCTTGAAACGGTATTTCTTTGGTTGTTCTTAAGCTCTGCATGTGACCGTGGATTTCCAGGCTTTCAACAACTATCATGTATTTCGTAATGTTAAGTACACTGAGGAGGGTGAGTGAGAGGGAGAAATTAATTTAAATTTTCATTGTTAATGTTTTCTTCTCTTCTCTCCTATGTGCTACAGAATGTTTACACAGTTAGCTTCCCCAAGCCTGGTTTTGTGGAGCTGGCCCCTGTACCGATTGATGTGGGAACAGAAATCAACCTGTCCTTCAGCACTAAAAACGAGTCCGGGATCATTCTCTTGGGCAGTGGAGGGACACCGGTGCCCCCTCGAAGAAAACGAAGGCAAACTGGACAGGTATTCTCACACCTAGTCAGTAATGCATTTTACCTAATGTGGATATAAAACAATCCATTTATAAAGAGCTTGGTGAGGCATTGAGGGTCTATAAATTGCTCTTATATTCTTAGATTTGCATTCTTTATTTCCATTATCATCTTCTTAGGACAATTATCTCCACTAAGATTTTCCTGTTGGTCAATTCCAGGTGCATTCACACTTGTAATATTTGCAGCTGTGTTTCATATGGGTTTATCATGTGCATATAAAGAGAAACAACTGAAAATATATTTAAATTATATTAATCTCTTTTCTCTAAGTCCAGTTCCTTATCTACCTAGGGTCCCTTCCATTTAAATTTCTTCTAGGATCAGTTCCCCAGTATCCTTAGCCAACACAATGCATTCTGTTGGAGCCTGACCTGCTCCACCCTCTTTGGATGCAGAGAAGGCAGAGGATGACCTGAGGTAGGAGACGCAAACAGAGCACAGCCAAACCAGGCCTGGACACAGTCCGTGCTCAGTCTCCCTCATGACATTACACAGCGTCTGCCTGTGAGGTTGTAAGCTTCAATTTCCATACACCCCAGCATCTGATTCTGTTAAAAGCTACCTCTTAGTTGCCCAAATCTACGCACCATAAATCCTTACTCTCTTGATATTCCTTCACTACTTTTAATCATATTTTTTTAAATGGCAACTATTGTCCCCACTGTGTAGCACAGTGAAGTCATCATTGTCCACGCATGCACATTACAGTCCACTGTCCTTGGCTGCCAGGTTACACTGATGTCATGTAAAGCATTCTCATCATGTTAATAATGACTGCACTTTTTCCAGACAGACCTCATATATGTATTCTTATTTTATATATGTAGATATTCCTATTATATATATACCCATTATGTACATATATATAGTCATTCCCAAGAATATTATTCAGCCATAAGAAGGATGAGATTTTGTCATTTATAACAACATGGATGGACCTTGAGAACATTATGCTAAGAAATAAGAAAGACAAATATATTACCTCATTTACAGGTTGAATCCAAAAAAAAAAATCAACACAAAAACTCATAGATACAGAGAACAGGTTGGTGTTTGCCAGAGGCAGGGGTGGAGAGCAGGTGAAACGGGTGAAGGGGGTTCCGAGGTACGAACTCCCAGTTATGAATCAAGTAAGTCACGGGGATGTAATGTACAGCATGGCAAGTGTAGTGAGTAACACTGTGCTGCATATTCGAAAGTTAGTAAGAGAGTAGATCTTAAAAGTTCTCAACACACACAGGGAGAAATTCTGTAACTCTATATGGTGATTAATGTTAACTAGACTTGCCATGGTCATCTTTTCATGGTAATAGAGAAATATGAAATCATTATGTTGTGTGCCTTAAACAAATATAATGTTGTATGTCAACTACACCTCAGTTAAAGGCAAAGAAGAGGAAGAGAGAGACGCCCTCTCCTGGGCACCTGTACTGAGAGAATACAGGTGCCCGGCTGAGGCCCTGGGAGAACCCAAAGAGAAGGCGACCATCTGCAAGCCAGGAAGAGGGTTCTCACTACCACCTGACCGTGCTGGCACCACGGTCTCTGACTTCCAGCCTCTAGAACTATGAGAAAATGAATTTCTATTGTTTAAGCCAAATAATAATAATACCAATTTTTAAAAAAGCAAGGAAATAAAATTCACATTAGTGGTTACCTCTGAAATGGGGAAGCTGAGGGATGGGGCTGGGGAGAAACTCAGAGGAGATGCAGAAGTATTGCTTTTTAACCTAAATGGTGGGTTTCAGGTATTCGCTAAATTGCAAATTGTGCTGTATGTCCCTTACATTATGAGAAATCTATCACATGGTCATAATAAAAATAGTTTTCTAAAAGTAAAGGAAGAAAAAAAAGTGTTATTCTATCTAATTCCTTACTGTACATAAGCACTAAATATATAAAAATATAAATGTACTCAAATTCTTTCTCTTTTAATCCTGAAAAGTAAAATTCTTCTCTCACTGTTCCAAATCATCAACTAGTTATAACAAGAGAACCAGATCAAACATTCTGAAATACATTTCCACTGAAGGATATTGATCAAATAGTTAAGCACCAACTTATTGGCTCAAATTGCTCCTCATCAGGACTAAATAAATGGACTTGAATCACCAGCTTTCAAGATAATACTTAAAATAGAACATGATTCTATTAAAACAATTAAAATGAGACAATATTAAGTACTATAGTAGAAAGTAAATTAAAAATTACGTTTCAACATTTTAATGACAACGTACATTTAGCTATTAAAAACCTCATAATAAATTCTATCTGAAAGAGAAATCAATGTTAAATAGTTCATGCCTATCATAGAATCAATGCTGGTTACATTGACATATTTTATTTTTTTTCTAAGCTAACAGTTTTGATACCCATAGGGCTTTTTGTGACTATATTCTGCTAATGGGGTTTGAGACACCAAACAATCAATCAGCTAAGAAAGTTTTAATTGAGTGAGTAGTTTGCAGTGGCCCCTTTCTTTGATGGATGGTGAGTACTGATCTCATCCTCTGGACATTTTGTGTTGGACACACAGCTATAGAGACGATTCGGTGGAGACACGATGTTTGACTGAATGATTGCCACCGCCACAGGTGGCGCGTGGAGGACCAAGTGATCACTGTGTAGCAAGTGCGCCCATGCTCCACGAGAAAGGGCACACACGTGGAATCAGCTCTGGGGACGCGGACTGCATTCAAGCTCCGTGGGGTGCCTGATCTGATCTCAAAGCCATACTGGTTGCTATAGTAACAGTAGCAAGAAGAAAGCAGGCATGTTTGTGGATAAAAAATTGTCTTCCTTCTTTCTGAATGAGGGAGACAAGTTACAGATTGGTGATAGCAATCTTTTCCACCAGCTCAGAGAACAAACTGAAGTCTAAACATTCAAAATGCCATGAGGTTGGGAGTCACACCTGATTTCTAGAAGCTGGCTGTCCACTTGTGAATATAAGGAAAAGGGATTTTTGTTAACACCCTTTGTTCCCCGGAGGGTTTTATGAGTTAGAGACTCAATGCAAGCATAGCTGTTACCTTCAGCATCGCAAATCTGCTCTGCAGAGACTGCTATATTATTACACCCACTTTCCATATGAACTAACGGGCAGAAATGGTGAATGATTAAAAAACTATTTCCAGCTGCTTTAAATACTGTGTTTAAGAAAATATTGAATCTTAACTTCTCCAGTAAGATTTCCTAGCAGATGAATCTATGGTTCTGTCAGAGAACTCTAATGCTAAGTCATGGATGAGATTCCTCTTTAATCTTGAATGACCATTTGCTATTCCAGGCCTATTATGCGATATTCCTGAACAAGGGCCGTCTGGAAGTACATCTCTCCACAGGTGCACGAACAATGAGGAAAATTGTCATCAAACCAGAGCCGAGTCTGTTTCACGATGGGAGAGAACATTCCGTTCATGTGGAGAGAACTAGAGGGTAACGATAGCCCTAGAGAACCTCCTGTGGTAACTAACATGAACTCCTCTGCAGCATTAGTCTCTGGCTGGGCTTCTGTGTGTATGGACATAGGATGCATTGCCAAACTATCAAGTAGCTTAATTTCTTCTTTACATTTTGTACTTCATTTTGTACTCGTTTACCTTGGCCCTTAGGAGTTCTACTCTTAACATTTTTATTCTGTGCCATTCCCCTCTCCACCTTGGGAAAAAGCAAATGTATCTTCTGAAGCTATAGATAAGAAAATCCTCCCTCTGCACCTCTCAAATGTTCCCTTCTCAAATAAGGTATGCACACAATGAAACACACAGAGTAGCTCAGCCGGAGCCAGCAGCCTTTGGCAGCCGCTCTTTCATTCAGGTTCCAAAGCAGTTATGGCAGCTGCTTAGAAACCTGCCACAGATACAGAACGTGCAGCAGCTGCAGGGCCTACTGAGCAGTGTTCCACATGTGCCTCACCCCTGACCCCCTCCAGGGTGTGTAGGGTCCCTGCAGTGTGGCTTCATGAGGGAGTGGAGTTGAGGGACCGAAGAGAAAGGCTGCCGTCCCACCATCAGTGCATGGAGGCAGGCTTGCGAGAGCACCTGCTTCCCAGCCCTGAGTCAGGGGACTGGACAGAACAGTGCTATATGCTGGTCTCTCGTTTCTTTGGAAAGCTTAGTACTTACTTTATTGGGGAAGTCATCTGTATTTTTTCATCCAAATGTTGTATGTCAACTCAGAGTGGTGATTTGTTTAACAGGAAAATTAGAGGAAAGGAATATAGAAGCCCAGAGACATCAGATTTTCAAACCAGCAATCCATTTGTGAGAATGAAAACACAGAAAAGAACTGTAAATCAAATCTGATGAAACCTCAGAACACAGAGAACAGTTTTAGATACAGCAACAGTATGCACGTGTAGCGTTAGTTCAAGTAAGAAGACACTATTCTATAATCAAAGACCTACATTTTCTGATTATCCTCTTTGTGGATAACAGCTTAGATAAGTACACAGAATTCCTTCTCTTCTAAGTAAATGATAAAGCTTTCCTTGGCTCATTTTTTCATTATTATGTAGAGCCTTAGGTTGTGAGCTGAATCGATAGTAGGCATGCGTGCAGAGTGTCTACTGACTGGGATGTTTAGGAACCATGATTAAGGCAAACGAGAGATCAATATTTGGACAAAGTAGAACTTTTACTAATCTAATAGCCAGATATTACAGTCACGGTCTCTAAGGAGAAATGCAAACTGAATTTTCTCATTTGGGGATGCTCTAAAGTACTGATTTTACATATCTCGTACACCAGACATTCCCAAGTGCATTACAATGTTGCGCTAAGCTGTCCTTTTAACAGGTGTTTCTTCAAGAAGGGCATTTGATTATGCCAACTTCACAGCTGTTGGCCATCAATTCAACCTTTATTTGATTAAGCTCAGTGTATAGTACATCACTGAAAACTGATCATTCAGTTAATTGGATATATAAACAAACAGTTTTGCCATTTGCTGTTAATTAAAGGATAATGTATTGGACATATTAGTGCAGTCACTGAACCCTCTGGCATAGGAAGAACACATTTGCTGTCATAATGTCTCACTCAGCACTCTGAGGTCAAAAACAATCATCACCTGTCCTTTAAGCGAGTGCTACAATTAACTGATTAACTGGAGATTGCTAACGACCCTAAGAACTTCACCTACAAACATTTTTAATGCTTCACGCCTATTCTATGGCATGCTCTGTGTCAAAGAGTAGACAAAAATTATGTCCTTTAATTGTTTAATGTATGTGAGACATGTATTAATATTTCTTCTCCATGGATGAGGAATTATTAACTAACTTGCTCAAAATCACATATCTAGTAAATAATACAGTCAGGAATTAAATTCATGTATGTATGTATGTATGTATGTATGTACATATGACATTAACACCTCCATCTGTACTGGCCAACTATTTATTTGTACTCTGCTTTTGTGACCTCAGAGATTTGTACTGCTTTGTGTTGATTATGATACTCTTATTACTTTGGAAACATTTGCTTTCTTCCAACACTTTTCAGGCCATAAATGTCAATTATCATTTCTTTTCCTAAAACCCTAGATAAGATGGTAATTTTAATATCATATCACAAAATTATTAGATTTTTGCCAAATTAAGAGGCAATATTTTTAATATATTTTATTGATTATGCTATTACAGCTATCCCACTTTCCCTCCTTTATTCCCCTCTGCCCTGCACAAACCCTCCTACCCACATTCCCCCACCTTAGTTCATGTCCATGGGTCATACGTATAAGTTCTCTGGCCTCTACATTTCCTATACTATTCCTAACCTCCCCCTGTCTATCTTCTGCCTTCATTTATATTACTTATTCCCTGTACCTTTTTCCCCATTCTCCCCTCCCCTTCCCTGATGATATCCCTCCATGTGATCTCCATTTCTGTGATTCTGTTCCTTTTCCAGTTGTTTGCTCAGTTCATTTCTGGTTTGGGTTTTTTTTTTTTAGGTTTGGTTGTTGATAATTGTGAGTTTGTTGTCATTTTACTTTTCATATTTTTTATCATCTTCTTTTTCTTAGGTAAGTCCCATTAACATTCCAAAAAATAAGGGCTTGGTGATGATGAATTCCTTTAACTTGACTTTGTCTGAGAAGCACTTTATCTGCCCTTCCATTCTAAATGATAGCTTTGCTGGATAGAGTAATCTTAGATGTAGGTTCTTGCCTTTCATGACTTCAAATACTTCTTTCCAGTCCCTTCTTGCCTGCAAGGTTTCCTTTGAGAAATTAGCTGATAGTCTTACAGGAACTCCTTTGTAGGTAACTGTCTCCTTTTCTCTTGCCGCTTTTATGATGATCTCATCTTTAATTTTGGGTAATGTAATTATGATGTGCCTTGGTGTGTGCTTCCTTGGGTCCAACTTTCTGGGGTCTCACTGAGCTTCCTGGACTTCCTGGAAGACTATTTCCTTTACCAGATTGGGAAAGTTTTCCTTCATTATGTTTTCAAATAAGTTTTCAATTTCTTGCTCTTCTTCTTCTGGCACCCCTATGATTTGGATGTTGGAACATTTAAAGTTGTTTCAGAGGTTCATAAGCCTCTCCTCATTTTTTTTTGAATTCTTCTTTCTCCATTCTCTTCTGGTTGAATGTTTATTTCTTCCTTCTTATCCAAACTGTTGATTTGAGTCCCAGTTTCCTTCCTGTCACTGTTTGTTCTCTGTACATTTTTCTTTATTTCATTTTTCATAGCCTTCACTTTTTCCTCTATTTTGTGACAATACTCAACCAATTCTGTGAGCATCTTGATCACCAGTGTTTTGAACTGTGCATCTGATAGGTTGGCTATCTCTCCATCACTTAGTTGTATTTTTCTAGAGCTTTGATCTGTTCTTTCATTTGAGTCATTTGATTTAATCTCTGCACACCTGTTATGTAGTAAGGGGCAGAGCCCTAGGCCGGGGTGGGGCAACCCACCGTCACTGTTTTGGTGCTGTGTGTGGGGAGGGGTCCGAGACAAAACAATGGTGCTTCTTCAGCTCTCTGCTGGCTTTCAGTCACTTCTACCTCTACCCACAAGCAAATTGGGCCCTTCTGGTGCTGATTCCCAGGTGGTTGGGCTTGGGTATGTTCTAGGATTCTGTGGGTCTCTCCAACGACTTCTCCTGTGAAGCTGGGAGTTTCTCCTGCTGCAACAACCCCCACAAATTTTTCAGTCAGAGATTTTGAGGCTTTATTACCCCTGCCCCCAAGCTGGAACCCTGGGTTGTGTGGTCCAACTTGTTCCCCAGTTGTTCCTTCTGGTTTATCCACATGCAAATGTGGGACCACCCACTCTGCCAACCACTGTCGTAAAAAGCAATCTTTTCAAGATTATGCATGGCCTCTTTTCTCCCTCTCTACCCTTCTTTACCCCTCCTCCCTCATTCTCCCCCCTTTTTATCCTTTAGTCTGCAAGAATCTCACTTTAGTCACTCTGGTATCTAATTCCGTGGTATTCCAGTGACCCTATTTCCATAGCTGCTTTGCCCTCTGATCCTTCTCTTGGAGTCCACAGAAATGGCCAGTGGTTTTAACTGAATGAAAACATTAAACCCTGAGAGCCTGGAGTAGCTGCTTACGCTCTTCTGTGAGAGCATTCTTTATACAGGTATAGGCTTAAGCTAAAGACCACAAAGTTGGATAGGATATATCATGAGTACTTTGGGTTTTCCAGAATGAGATCATGATTTGGACAGGACAGCCCAGATATTTCTATCTTACCATCCAAAGTATGTTTAATAATAAAAAAGTTTCAAATTTTGTTCTTCATGTAAATTACAAATATTAGGGCACTTCTCTTAATATCTTCTTTCACATGTACAATACAATTGGTGGTGGTTTAAAAAAAAATCTTAGACCAATAACCAAACAAACAAAAAACAGAAACTCCAAGAATCAACCATCAAAGTTATAAGAAAATACAGCTTAACTATCATAATACAAATAGTAATGTATTTTTTATTATAGTGTATTTTACACTATAGGCCCTCAATAAAGAACTGTTGAATGGATAACTTGAAAAACAGAAAACATACCAGAATCATAATGAATATGTTGATTATGTCCCTCTTTACCAAAGAACTAAATAAATGATCTATAATTGATGCTCCTAGAATGTAAATTATAAGCAGGATTTAGCTATAGTCTTCTGGCAATTTCCTTATTAAGTAATACAGCTTCAGTGCAATCCTGTAATGTTTTCCACTGTTTGAACTATGTATTTGTATCTCCATGTTACGAATGAGTGAATTGAGACTGAGAAAAATTAAATAACTGGCCCAAGTTCACACAGTCAGTAAGTTTACACACTAGTACTTAATTTCAGTCTGTTCCTTTTGAAAGCTCATGTTTGTTCTATCTTCTACCCTGTGATCTAGTAAGAAAGGACCACTGCTATGGTCCTGGGGGCAGAACCAGACTAGAGAGTCTATGTCAGAAAGAGAAGAGCCTCTGGCTCTTTAAAAATTCTAACCAAGAGCAAAGATTTGCTCTCACTGGACCATCTTTAATAGTGCCTTAAGTCCCTCATGAAAACCCTTATGAACAATGCTCTATCATGCTAGTGAAAGGATGCTTTTAGCAAGAGAATAAAAGGTATTGCTAGAAGGAGGCAGTGGGACTACTAAGTCAGTCACACCCAGAAGTGAGTGGTTTCCTAAGTCTCATAAAACCACCAGTATTCTTAGCAATGGGGTTGAAGTTCCTGAATTTTGCCAACATGCTCTTCCAGAGTCTGGTTAAAAAGAAATTGTATGTCATTTTCCCTTATTTTTTCCTTTGAAACTAAATTCGACCTACCTCCTCTAGATCCCCTGAACCATGACATTTTTGAGCCACATCATAATCCATTTTTTGTTCCATTCTGTTACATTTGAATTGTCCCAAAGTGGACCAATTTCTCAGTGCCATTTCAGAGCATCTTTGCCCTGGTTTAGTGTTTCTAGTTCTACATGTGGGTTTTATTCCTGATAAAATCAGGTAAGTTGGCATTTTAGGACTGTTTTCCACTTAGGTATTTTGGTTTTCTCCCCAGATAAGAAGTAAGTTTTCAGCAATCCATTTACAGTCCTCGGGCCAGTGACTAACACTGATGACTAATAGCCCCATGCTGACTGGTACTGAAGAATAAAACCTCCTTCTAGAACAAAAGAGAAAATGCCTTTGGTCATTTTCATCATCAGAACGCTTTGTCTGCTTCTGACTCTCTGCCCCAGGATTCAAGGATTGTGAATAAGTAGCATGAGCTTCTCAATTAGTAGTGTGTGAGTTATCTCTCATAAGCAAATTAGGAAAATTAGTGAACAGCCACTGAGGAAAATCATCTCAAGGAACAATTAACTTGGTGTTCTTGCCTGCCTCTTCTATTCGAAAGCCAGTAGCTACATTCTTTACAAAATGTCCTGTGTCTGCTGTCAATTCCTGCAATCGAAGCTCTCAGGAGTACACTTTGTCCCCTAGCAAGAAGATAATAGCACGAACCAAGAAACAGCCAAATGAAAAGTGACCCCATGCTGTGCTAAACTCACTGAGCCTTATCCGATTAGACGTGGCTACACAGTACAGAAGCTTCACTCTACAGGCTCATGTATTGGTCTGTAGACCTTGATTGTCAGTGCCACCAGAGGCTAATGTTGCAGCTACACTACTGCCTCCTTAACGTAAACTCTCAGGGAGAGTTAACGAGGGAGGCAAGAAACAAGATACTGAGAAACAGTACGATTTGTTTAGTGCAGAATACCTAATCACCAAATTCAGGCTCACTTAAAAAGCTACAGGAGGGAGGGATGAGGGTGGAATGAAAGAGTTTGATTTCAAATTGTATTGGATGTTAAGTGTTTTTATACTTGTTTATTTCAAATGTTTTATCAGCATCTTTACTGTTCAAGTCGATGAAGAAAGAAGGCATATGCAAAACCTGACAATAGAACAGGTGATTGAAGTGAAAAAGCTTTTTGTTGGTGGTGCACCACCTGAGTTTCAACCTTCTTCACTCAGAAATATTCCTCCTTTTGAAGGCTGTGTATGGAACCTTGTTATTAACTCCATGTGAGTGAGTCTCCTTGCTGCTTTTTTTATATGAGAACTTCTGTTGCATCCACACTGCCCAAAGCCATGGGGCAAAGGAAAGAGTGAGGACCGTCAAATTTTAGAAAACTGCACTGAAGGCCATTAAAAAGGGGGAGGGGGTTGATTTAATTGTAAGGAAGTGAAACGATGAATATTCAGAAAAACAAGAAATATTTAATTTTAATTATGTTTCATTAGCCCCATGGACTTTGCACGGCCTGTATCCTTCAAAAATGCAGACATTGGCCGTTGTGCCCATCAGAAACCCAGCGAGGATGGAGATGGAGAAGTTCCAGCTGAAATAGTTACCCAGCCAGAGCCGGTTCCCACCCCGGCACTCCCAGCGCCCACCCCAGGCCTGGCACATGTAAGTGTTTATAGCCTACTGCTTTCTAATTTCTAGTCATTCTAAGAAGGAAGGTCATCCAGGGTACTTACTCTTCTCTCTTGCTGGAATTAGAGGATGGGTAACTTGCCTATGAAAATTTATTCTCCTTACATACTCCTTGGCTTACTTTTGTTTGTATATCTGTCCTCCTTTAATTTCCCTGTTTATAAAATGGCACATGTTTTCCGATGAAAGCTCAGAAATGTCTTCAGGATCAAGAATCAAATCCACCTATAATACCACCGAACAGAGGCAACCCTATTTTCATTTTACATAGTAGATCTCAGTTTGGTATTCTGCTTTTAAAAACTGGTAATACCTAATTAAAACTGTTTCTAAACCTCACATAAATATGATTATGCATGTATTTATGTGTGTATCTGTGTGTATGCAAAGACACAAAATATTTCAGAGTGTGGGAGGTGGTATATCCTTGTGAGAGCAGGGGCTCTGGAGCCAGACTGCCTGAGTTCAAATCCCAGCACTCTCACCTACTGTCCATATGAACTATGAAATTGACTTAGCCAGCTGTTCCTCGGTTTCCTCATCTGTACAATGAGGATATTTACAACACATACACCAAAGAGTTATTGTTAGGATTTAAAACGGTAATGTTTGTTAAACACCTAGTATATACTAAGCACTTAATAAATGACAAAATTACTATATAGTAATGATCATAAAGATGGCCTTTAAGTGCTTACTATGTGCCAGCCATGAGCTAAATAATTTCCATTCAATAGTATATGTAATTTTCATAACAGCTCTGTGAAATATATATAATTCCATGTTTAGTTGTATGGGTAAGAACTAGCTAGGCCTTCAGTAACTCACCCACTGTTGCAGCCAGTAAATGGCAGATAAGAATTTCAATCCAGGGGGTCTGACCCTGGAGTCTCATTCCATATCACCGCCACACTCTGTCTTTACAATTCATTTTACTTCCTCTGACTGTGGACCACTTAGAGTGTTTTCACTTTTTCACTATTAGAAACTACATTCTGTTGAACACGGTACAACAAACTCTCTCATTGTTTCTGATTATGTATTTTTTAAAAATAGATCCTTAGGCAGTGAATTATGAGGCCAAATGATGACTATGCCTGAGGCTCCCGAATCGCATATCTGAACTGCTTTGTCTGGAGGCTGTGTTAATTTACACTCTCACTATCGGTGTACGGCGGAGCACGGATCTCTCCCCGCCCTTCACAGCACACGCATCACATTTATGATGCTCCCCAGTTGATGGGTTGTGTTATATTGACTGCAGATTTTGAAAACTCTTGAATATTTTATTCTCTTCCTCAGTTTCTGTGCTGGAATTGGTAGTTCTGTACAGAAGTGTGCTCCTTGCCACTAGAAGTTCTGATTAAATGAGAAGCCAAATAATCATCTTCCAGGAAAGCCAGTCATTTACCCCAAACATCATTTTCTCCTCTGTAAAATGTGGATAGTGCACCTACCTTGCTGACCACATGGGGTTACTGTAAGAATTAAATGAGATATTATATAAGGATGTCCTTTGATAATACATAAACAAACAAAATGGAATCAGACTCATAAATACAGAGAGCAGACTGATGGTTGCCAGAGGAGAGAGGGTTTGGGGGACTGCGTGAAAGCAGTGAAGGGACTGAGAAGTACAGATGGGTGGTTACAGCACAGCCACAAGGACGTACAGTACAGCACAGGGAGTGCAGCCCATAATAGTGTCCTAACTGCGGATGGTGCCAGGTAGGCACTGGAAGTATCAGGGGAACACTCTGTAAAGTGTGATTGTCTAACCACGATGCTGTACACCTGAAACCAATACAAAATTATGTTGAATGTAAACTGTAATTGAAAAATAAAATTTTAAAAATGTTAAAGATTTGACCATTCACTTATAACAAGTATTTATTAAGAGCCTACTAAATGCAAAGGTAAGATACCATCTTACTACCCAGAGAGAGGGAAAGAGACAGAGACAGGGAGAGGCTAAGAGACAGAGATTTGAAAAAGAGATATTAACATAAACCACACAGTACACACATATGTGTGGAGGTCAGTCAAGGTTAGTGCTAAGTGTAGGCTGCAAACAGAAACCACTAGCTTCCAAGATTGAAAGGGACACCACTAAACTGTATCCAAACAAAATGGCTGGTGATGCCTACGAGTGTGAAATAAGGTTAATCAAATGCAAATTTTAATATGTCACCACACTGTTCTATTTTAAAATATTTCCATTGAAACAATATAAAACAATGACATACTTATGACATATGTAAATAAGGGAAACATTTTTAAATCAGAATTTAGATTTAAGAATTTATTTAAGAGCCCTGGCTGGTGTGGCTCAGTGGATTAAGTGCTGGCCTGCAAACCAAAGGGTCACCAGTTCCATTCTCAGTCAAGGCACATGCCTGGGTTGCAGACCTGGTCCCCCGTTGGGGGCGCACCAGAGGCAACCACACATTGATGTTTCCCTCTCTTTTAAAATAAATAAATAAAATCTTATGTTAAAAAAATAATTTATTTAAGAGTTAAGACTTACAAGGTAACTCCTGAGGTGGGAACTGCCTGTGTATGAGTCCGCTGCTTGGAGCATGGTTGACAGGAGCGTCTCCTCAGTCTCGGTTCATTCATTTCCTTTTCACTATCACACCCCTCCCACCAGCAGCTTACAGCAGGAGGGCAGTCACCTGCTCTGGGGCAGTTTCAGAGTATCCTGAGAGATCCCTACCCTGTGAAATGGATTATGTCAATCCTATTATTAATACACGTCAGAACACCACAGGTCAGAGAGCATTTTAAGCACATTATCTCGTTTGGTAGTGTGGTAGCATCTCCTTTTCATACAGCTCTCTTAATCTTTGGCCCACTTAGAGATGAATAAAACATTTGCATATATTGTATCTGTGGATGTTGCCCATGGAGTATGGGGAGGGGGGCATAAATAAGAGCCTGGGCTTGCAGTGTTACCAAAATTTGTCAAAATGTGACACATTCTCTGCAAGTATTTGTGGTGTTGATCGTGAGTCTTTATAAACAGCACCGCCTGCATGGTTTTGCATAGGACAAGCTGACTACATTTTTTCACACTTGAATTTTATTAGAATGTTGAACTTAGAACCTCCAAGTTTAAAATATGAACACTAAGAGGAGCAATGTAAGTAGCTATGAAGGGTCCCTGTGCTGTTAAGGGTTCTTGGGAATTGGAGGAAAAAAGTGAGCAGAGAAGGAAAAAACAGCAAAAAAGCTATTTCTCAGACAGCTTTAATGCTACGAATTTTAAAGCCAAGTATAGTCCAGACCGAAGGATAAATCGATTGGATACTGATATGTGTTTAAAGGGGAAACACACATTTTTCCATACTGCAGACAATCTCTATTCAGGCATTAGTGTGTAAATATTACTGCAAATGCCCAATACATAACAAAAGAGCTCATGGGCAGGGAGTTAACATATTCAGTTTTTCAATAAACAGTTTGAGTGGAGATGTTATATCTCAGAACATTGAAGTCACTGCTGCAAAAAGTATCTTCCACTTAGTTTTCATCTATAAACAAGATCCACAAAGAAACACCCAACTTCTCAGATGTGATTTTCACCCACATTTGTTACAGAGGTTATTGACTCATGAAAAAAGAAAACGGTGCAATTTTTATGATCATCTGTCATTTGGTGCTTTCAAGAACAAAGGTGCCAGTTGTGATAAATGCAATTTAAATCTCTGCTCAGGACCAATCTAAATCCAAGGAAGGCTTACCCGCCAGTCATATGCTATCCTGAAGCCAATAACTCATTTCCAAATGTCAGCCAACAACCAGCAGTTGGAAATGACCACTGCTTTGTGCTGACCTGAAATTAGATGAGTGACAGTGTGAGGGTGAAAATGTTCTCTCTGTTGCTAATCGGCAGCACTTTGTCCTTCCTGAACGTGGCTTTGGGAAGCCTTGCTTCCTCAGAACCCTCTCTGACCACACCACTGCTCCCCCCAACAGGGGCACTGCCACACTAGACTGCCCACCCCAGTCCTGTCTGTCCACAGCTTGTCACCTGCCAAGCAGAGACGAACAGGAAGCTAGCAGATTGTGTCCTCCTTTCACACCACATTTTCCTCCTCTGTCCTGTAGTACTTTAAACAATCCCCACAAGGTGGCAGGATTGTAACGTGTTGAGATTGATGAGCCTCTACTGAGATGGAATTTTTTTTTTTACTATCATTGTTGTTTTAACACATTTCAGAGATCAGTGTTTCCAAAATAACACAGGTACAGTATCCCAGCCCTAAAGATGATGCCTCCTCTCTAGCTCACATTGGCTTAGAGCAGGAAAATTGATCTTGCAACAGCCATTGTTCGAAGGGTCCTTCAAATCAGAAGACCCTTCCTCCTACCCTTCTTCCTTAGCTTAGATTTCTGTGGGAAACAGGGTTGAAAACGTCCTTAATGAAAAGATCATTTTATGGTGGTGGAAACCACAGGGCACTGTCTCTTCCATCTCACAAATTCCCCTTTAAAAATGTTAGAAGGAAAAAAGACCGTTGAGAGGCAGGGTGAACAGCTCCACTCTCTGAGGGGCTTGCAGGGGCCAGGAGGAGGAGGGGTGGGCAGGCTGTCCCTGGTTTCAGATTCACCCAGGGGAAAGTGACGCGGCGGGTGCCCGGGCAGCGCCAGCCAGGCCCATCTCCCCTCACCAAGCAGGAGCAGAAAAACATGAAAAACACTTGAATGAAAACATTACCAGGTTAGAGGCTGGAGAACTGCCTTCCCATTTAAATCTTAAAGTAGATAAACATAAACCCTCTTACCTTTACACTGGCCCTTCTCAGTCCTCTTCCAACTGCCAGTTTTATAAAGGAAGGTAATGGAAGTTTTATTAAAAAGCATTATCCATATATCCATCCCACTGCAAATTAATGATCATAAACATCAATTGGGATGTCCTTAACAAACAATGAATTTAGCATAACAGCTTGATACTCTGAGGTTACCTAGTAGAGTGACCCATTTGTTATCTCTCTCTCTGCTGTAACATAACATTGGCCAATCTGAGGACACTGTTTTATTAGTTACTGCTTCTTTCTGCTTCTCAAGAGCTGCCTGGTGCAAACGGGAAGCAGGACCTCCTCCGAGAGGTGCTCTTCTTCCCAAGTTTCAAGTGGGTGTGTCATGTCATGCTTTCTTTAAAAAGTCCTTACAAAACCCCTTTTGTCTGGGCAAAGGTTTTTCTCAAATACTGTAAGCAGGGCCTTTTTTTTTTTAATCTAAAGAATGTGATCGCATGGACAAAGAACCACTTTCTGCTTGACCAGGACCAGTGTTGGACAGACCTGTCCAGTCTGCCTATGTCAGGTTGGCAGGGTGTCCGGGCCACAATGGCCCAAACGTGGAAAGTCAAAAGCTCTCCACGGTGAACCGCTGCTCCCAATACCTAATCTTCACAATTGTCACTTTGATCATTAAAAAAAAATTATATTACAAAAGTTATTTTATTTATTTGTAATAACTAGACGAATGACCACAGTGGTTACAAAACTACGGAAATGCCGGTGGGCTTCTTTTAAGCTGCACATTATTGTCCTTAATTCCTCAGTACCCATTGACCTTTTCCATTCTCGATTTCCAGAGCTGAGGGTTTAGAGATGTTTTAGCCAGATTCTGCCCCGGATGAACTCCCCACAGGTAGGATTCTCTTAGAGATTTCTGAGGAGGACTGCAGGCTGGCTGCTTATGTTCGTCCTGACGGTCCTCTGCACGGAAAATATTGTGAGAAGATGAAAAATGATTTCAATTCTATTAATAGCATCGTTAAAGGCTGAAAACATTAAGCTACCAAAGGCTTGCTCTTTGGGCTCATTTTGCAGGCAGTGTAATAAGAAAGGTACCACATGTTGATTCCAAGAGAGGCCACTCAGCTGTGTGAATAAGTAGCACACTGCTGTTCTACCCACTGGGTTTTTGCATATCCGTGTAAATTTCAGCAACAGCCTGCCCTTTGTTAACTGACCGTCTCCTGGAAAGCCAGAAGGGAAATACTACTTCCATGAAGACCAATTTTATAGCCTTTCAAAACACTTAAAGCCTTTCACCTGCTGTGGCAGAGTGCTCCATTTGACTAAGCTCAAGAGAAAAGAGAGCCAGGCTTTTCCTCATCAAGTGAAAATTTCCTGTGTGCCGATGAGTCATCTCAGAGGCACACTATTTGGAAAGAACATTCTGCATCCAAAGCCTGCCTTGGGCTGTTTGAGAACCTATGCTGAGTCAGCGCTCACTGGGGCAGTGGCCCATCCAGAGCCATTAAGTGCAGATCTTAAAAACAGATGTGTTGTTTAAAGCGTGCAGGTTATTTATTTTCTCATGTACAGTGTGTTCTAAAAGACTTCCTAAGCAGCTTGTGCATTGAGCTATTATGTGAAAATAGAGAACAGAGACAGGAATTGTGGCGTGGCATGGTAATTTGAGGAGCCTTGATTAGCTATTGAGCTGAGGGATACAGTAGCCAAATATGGTCCATCTCGCCAAGAATGACTATTACAATTTGCAGAGACCAGAGCAAAATGAAGGTGCAGGGCCCCTTGTTCAAAAATGACTAAGAATTTCAAGTTCGTGACAACAGAGCCTGAAACCGAGTTGCGGCACAGGCGCCGTGCCTCAGAAGCTGGTCCTGCACCAAGCTCTCCCTCATAAGCACCCTAGGAAGTTGATTTTTGAACAGTGGCAGTTGAAATGGTGTATGGTGAGTTACATTTTTTAAAAGTGCTGGGTTGCCTAGCAACTGCTTAAGGACCTGAATGGGCTGACTTGCAAGTTTAGATACACCATCTTGAAAGTCTAAATTCATGGAAGCCTTCTAGTAGACCGATAATTTTCAGGAAAAAGTAATATAGTGGGAGATAGATATGGGGAGGGCAAAAGGGAACACATTTTTCTACTCTTACAACCCAGTGCCTAGCTTGTCATTTTTCCTATTCAATCTTCTAAGAATAAAACTCTTCATAATTGAAAGGGGAATTCCAGTTTTCTCAGAAATATAAACAACATTTTCCTTTAGAGGATAATGAAAACATGAATAAATCAATGAATTTTTATTTGGCAATTCAAAGGTACAATATAAGAAAACTGATTCACATTCACGGAACATTTAATAATAAGTACCTGCTATGTAGTGGAATACAGAAAGGGGTAAGAGACTGCTTTCATTCTTAAGGAAGTAAAATAGATTATGTGGGACCATTAAAACATAAGAAACAATGAGCAGCATCGCATGTTTAAAGAACGGAGTCCGTAATGTCCCCTCTTTCTCTCCTTGGTGTTTTACAGGGTCCTTGTGCTGTAGAATCAGAACCAGCTCTTCTGATAGGGAGCAAGCAGTTTGGGCTCTCAAAAAACAGTCACATTGCAATTGCATTTGATGACACCAAAGTAAAAAACCGGTATGTACTATTCTGGGATATGAGACAAGAACCAATGAATGGAAGTGCTGAGTATTTGCATTTATTCAATCAACTGCATTTATTAATATATGAAGTGAGCATTTTCAAAATTCACTGAGTACAGTAAAGAATACAATTTTTGGTCTGAGCCTGAGAAGCTCTGCTTAGGAAATCATCAGACCTGGAAAGTCCTCATCTCAGGAAGGGTTTAACTGCCCTGTATGAAAATTCACCCAAGATCGGATGTCACCCTCTCTTAGAATGAGAATGCTATCATTCTTCTGTTTTACTTTGCACGTTTTTATTTCACAGCCTCACAATTGAATTTGAAGTGCGAACCGAAGCCGAATCAGGCTTGCTTTTCTACATGGCTCGGATCAATCATGCTGACTTTGCTACAGTTCAGCTGAGAAACGGATTTCCCTACTTCAGTTACGACTTAGGGAGTGGTGACACCAACACCATGATCCCCATCAAAATCAATGATGGCCAGTGGCACAAGGTAATGGTCCTCAGGAAGCTGGCAGTGCCCTGCCAGGCGGGTACCCAATGGCAGCCTTCGGGACTCTCCCGGTGCCAGTACTGTTTTGCCAGTGCAGACTCTGACCTGGTGCTCCTGGAACACGGCTGGCTGAGGCTAAAAATAAAGCAAGTGCTATATACAACTGCCAGCCTTGGGAATGTGATCAGACCTGGGTAGGTTTGTATTCGAACACTTAGCGCGCCTCATCGCGGTACCACAGGATGCCATCATTGCTGTACAGCTGTGCCTCCCAAACAGCTGTCTGCAAATGTGGGCCAGGTTGTTGAAGGCATTCGCACCACTGGAAGTGGGAAACATGGAAAATGAAGCATATTCATCACAAAGCTCTACAAAATCAATTTAAAATAATAATACTTATTGAGATAATATTTTTCTACTTTTAAGGTAGCAAAATGGCCTCTTTTTATGAAATTATATTTCACAAACTTAAAAGCTAGCAATACTAAAGTGGGCCTCCAGACTTCCCTCCTGTCCCACCCCATACTGGTCTATAAAAACCAACAGTCTGGGGATCTCTTATATCATGTTTAAAGGACTCTAGAGTATCATATCCACCGACAGTCATTTGGAACGACTTTTAAAACATTGGCCTTACACCCAGAAGCTGGTACTATTGTGGGCACAGGAGGCTCATTTGCCAACTTACTCTCCACTTTGGCATGACTACAAGTAGATAATATACTGCCTGATTAAAACGAAGACTCAGAGTTTGTTTCTACACCTGTGATAGCCTGTTAAGTAAAGCTTCCCTAGGTAGACCAATAAAATGTTTAATTTTTAAAGTATAATGTTATTAGATGTTGTAATTTATATGTTAACATACTTGGACTTGTTAAGTGCTCATTTAACATTTTACGTGATTAGCATATCATGTGAAAATCTAAAGAACCTAAAATATATAATAAAAATGAAATGTCAACCAATTTGTTACCTTGGAAATTAAAAAACAGAATCATCACTGTTTCTTTGGGAGCTTATGACTTGCAAATATTGATCGTTATAAAGGCATGCTCATTAAGGTTTATTCTCATCTTTGCAGGGGTGTCCAACCTTTTGGCATCTCTGGGCCACACTGGAAGAAGAAGAGTTGTCTTGGGCCACACATTAAACACATTGGGACATGTAATCACAAAAAACCTTACAATGTTTTAAGTAAATTCACAATTTTGTGTTGGGCCTCATTCACAGCCATCCTGAGCCGTATGCAGCCTGTGGGCTGGGGGTTGGACACCCTGGAATAATAAATGTGACACTTGAGAAAAAGATGTTCTCGGGCCACAATTTGGGATTAAGAAAGTTCCAGTTCACCCTGGCTGGCGTAGCTCAGTGGATTGAGCGCAGGCTGCGAACCAAAGTGTCGCAGGTTCGATTCCCAGTCAGGGCACATGCCTGGGTTGCAGGCCATAACCCCAGCAACCGCACATTGATGTTTCTTTCTCTCTCTCTATCTCCCTCCCCTCCCTCTCTAAAAATAAATCAAAAATTAAAATCTTTAAAAAAAAAAAGAAAGTTCCAATTCAACAAAGAGCCACATTAAGAGGGGATTTCATTTTTGAAAGTTTTTTAAAAAATCACCTCCCAAACCAGAATAAGTATAAAATGAGGTCTTAAATTCTCATCCTGATTCATTTTTCAGCCATCATTGTATTCCAGCATGTCACAGGGTTCCACGCTCCTTTTTCTAAATTCAGACTCAAGGTTTTTGTGCTCAAGCCAGTTTTCACCCCCCTTTCCTCACTCTACCCCAGAAGATAATTTCACTCAACTGCTGCAATTTCAGCCTCAGTCAGCTTTCCGTCTCCCTCCTGACCTGGTACTGATCGGCCGCTGCAGAAGGAGCAGTGCGGCCTGGGTGGGCTGCGCTCCCCGCAGTCCTGCAGGCGGAGGGCTGTGAGGCAGAGGGATGCCCCGTATCTGAAATTGTGCTGGGGAGACCAGGCTTTGCTCGATCAAATTAATGCATGTTTAAAAACAGACATGAATTTTGCATCTCACGTAATCAGCACAGGGCCCTCCATCTGCCCGGTTCCTTACAACATGCTTATTTGGTAACCCATAGACGAGTCTTCAATCTAAAACTCACCCAGGAAGATTTTGTACTCTTTCAGAGATGGCAGTAATGGGAAAAAGAAAAAAAAAAAACAACAGAGTTTGAGATCTTCTGTAAAATAGGTTTAATTTCATTTATACTATGGGTCTAGCACATACTAGGCACTCAGTAAGTTATTTTGCTTTTCCTACAGAATATCTATAAAGTTCTTACATCTTATCCTCTGCGTATTTGAAATTTATCAATGATTGGCATTGATGGCTCCTTTTCTTTCTGTAGATTAAGATTGCGCGAATTAAGCAAGAAGGAATTCTTTATGTGGATGATGCCTCCAACAAAACTGTCAGTCCCAAGAAAGCTGATATCCTGGATGTTGTGGGAATGTTGTATGTTGGTGGGCTACCCATCAACTACACTACCCGAAGAATCGGTCCAGTGAGTGTCTAGTTTGTTCCTGTAGCCTAAATAATCTGACTGAGTCATGTATGTATTTTTAAGTGTTAGGTCACATTGGCTAATAATCACTTATAATTAGTTAGGAAATCATTTGAGAAGTGACAGAAAGTCTTCTAGACAAATTTGACTAGGAGAGGCGGCATCACAGAACTGAGCATAGATCCTGGAGCCAGACTCCCTCGGTTGGAATACTTGCTAAACTATTGACTAGTTCTGTGATCTTAGGCAATTTACCTAATCTTTCTTTGACAAATTTTCCTCTTTTTAAAAATAGAATAACAGTCATACCAAACAAGCAAGGTTGCTGTAAAGATTAAATGAGGTAATGTATTTAAGATGCTTCGAAGAGTACCAGGCATATGGAAAGCACGGGACAAGAAAGACGATATAGTATTGAAAGCATGGTTTCAGAAATAGAGATTTAGCGAATATTGAGAGGTGCAGCATTGAGATTATAGTTATTCAATATTGGATGTGGAATTTAAAGTCCCAGCAATTTTGTACAACAAAATAATTTTTTGTCAGAATGTGTATCCTGGCTTGCTTTGGAAAGCATTATTTTTTTACTGTTGTTCAATTACAGTTGTCCCCATCCCCCCCTATTACTCTCCCTCTGCCCTATCCACCCCCACCTCCCACAGTCAATCCTCCTCCCCCCCACCATTGTCTTTGTCCATGGGTCCTTTATACGTGTTCCTTGACAATCCTTCCCCTTCTTTCCCCATTTTAAGAAGCACAGGGGATTTGTGTTTTTAGAGAACATGCCACACACAAGTGTGATACATTTCTGTACTCAGATCAGAACACGTGATGATGTAGAGCTGTTCGTCATCACAGACGATTGTTCATCGTAGTTGTAGTATTACCTTCCTTTCATGGAGTTGGATATGCCACCCAAGCCTTTCAAATGCAAGCCTCTGCAGTGAGATTTATATTTTATATTTCATCTGGTTTTAGGGATGCAACAGTGATTAAATTGCATCCCTAAAACCAGATGAAACACAATGGAGCAGGGTGTGATTGATTTATTTCTATAGTCCCTAAACTTTGGATGTGTTGTTGCAGGCTTTCAAGTTTTATATGTACATATATGTGCTTTCTTAGGAAAAGGTTCGCTGCTTTCATTAGCTTTTCATAAGGAAGAAACACTGAACCAAACCTAATTATCTTTTCAAACAGGATTTGAACACAGATTATGACAAAATGTGTGTAGAGTAAGATTAAAAAACTATTAAAGAAATATAGGCTAATGAAAAGTTGTGATACCCATATGGGCCCATAGCCCTGTGCAGTGTTTAGAGTATCCGCACTATCATGTCCAGGCTGGATCCATCCCGGTCGAGAGGCACAACACAGGATTTTCTGCGCTCCTGCTGTGAACCCTGAGGTGGTAGTGCAGATTCAGGCAGTTTGGTTTATGACAAATGGCTGATAATTATACACTTGGAGCTCCTCACAAGTGATTGCATTCCACATGGAGGCAAAAACCTGATTTTGTTTCTTCTGACCTGAAAGGTGACCTACAGCATTGATGGCTGCATCAGGAATCTCCAGATGGCAGAGGCCCCTGCTGATCTTGAACGGCCAACCTCCAGCTTCCATGTTGGGACATGTTTTGCAAATGCTCAGAAAGGAACATATTTTGATGGAACAGGTTTTGCCAAAACAGGTGAGTTGCTTTCATTTACTTCCTGTTGCATATTAATGAGGTACAACTAATAACTTTTTACTTGTGCAGAAGCATAAAAGTCCCTGAAGTCCTAAACTAGTATCCCTTACTTAAGGCAGAAATAAAAACATGCAGAAGTAATAAAAAAATTGCCTCTTAAAGATTAATGTATCTGATCCTGATAAGAACTAATAGAAGAAATAAAGTAAAAGGCTATTTGGAAAATTTATTTCATCTTCTTCCCTGGAGCTCAATAACAGCAAAATAAATGTAATTTTGCAAGAAGGTTCATATGTGTCTACCATATAATTTATATACTTTTAAGTTTTCCCTGTCTACCTTCATGGAGATGAGATAATATGTTTTTTTATTTCTTTCTTCAGTTCCTTGCAAGGCTCTTTTTCGTGGTCCCCCACCCCCCTGCCTCACACACACAGTGCACGTGCTGGTGCCCATTTCTTGTTGATAGTGATGGTAACTGACCCCTTTCCCTGACTTTCCTTAAGTATCTCCCCCTTCCCAATGAACATTTCCAGTGGAGGTCTGAATCACTGTGAGTAAAGGCACAATTTAGAAAGAAAAATACAAAATAAATTTTATAGAAGCAAAAAATATGACAACATATATTAAGACAGAATATTCAGTCTAGCGGTTACCACAGACATATGCATTTGTTTGTTAGAAAAACATTACTAAGCACAAACTATGTAGAAAGTCATTCTGGCCAACAGAAGTAAATAAGATGTTTCTTTCTTCAAGAATATACTATCAATGGGTAAAATTCTGTATGCTTATAAATCACAAAAAAAGCAAGTAAAGTATATAAAACTATAAAAGATATGCAAAAAGGTTATGTGCAGATTTATAGGAAAGATTAATTTTGGTTGGGAAATCAGGAAGGTTTTACAGAGAAACTGATATTTGAGTGAGAATTTAAAAGATGATTTGAATGCTCACATGCCAAAGTTGTCAGGGAGAGAAGAGCAGGGCCTTCCAACACAGAGCAGGTGAGAACTTCACCTATGCAGAAGCAGACAACAGAAAAGTACAGGACATGTTACACATTGAAATATTGCGTGTTAAGATAAAGCCCAAATTCCATGTGCTATGAAAGTCCAAAGTGTTCTGCAAGACTTCTACAAACTCACAGATGGCTGGCACTCTCTTGGTCAGAACTGACAGTCAACTTCAGCTTCCATTTCTGCAGTTACTGACTTGCCATCCTTCCTGGGCTCTTTGGTTCTGGATCAAACTGGGCCCGAAAATTAGTCTCTTCCCCAGTTTCCAACAAATCCTACCATCCCTGCCACTCACCGTGTAATACAATCTTTATGAGACCTGAGTAGTCAGAGGAGGTAATGTCACTGGAAAATGTACAACCTCAATTTAACCCTTTGACATCATTGTTTCTAAAAGCTTTCCAGCCGCCCAATCACGGGGGTTTCAATGGCCTCCTTACCTGCTCTGTCCTCCACTGAACTGTCTCAGGTTGTTCGTCTCTTCTCCTTAATGCTCCCTTTCAGGAACAGAAACAAAGTCTTCCTATTTTGTCTTGCAGAACACTCAGCTTTCCCCACCTTTGCTCTTAAAATCCACTCTAAACCCATCTTTGCCCATCCAAACCCATCAAGGTTCTCAAGAATAAAAGTCGTTCACATCACAGGTGCCACTCTTCAGTTGTGTTTACACGTAGCATATTTTTTTTTCTGGTGAATAAACAAATGAATAGAAGACATGGAGAAACCTTCCATGAGTTCTTCCCTAATACTCCATGCAGTTGGTAGGGTCTAGTCTGGTTGTAATGAATCACTTTGTTTCTAAGAGGCATGTTTTAAATACTTGCTAAAAGATCAAATAAATCAATGAATCAAATATGGAAAATTATAGAGAAAAAACTGGATAAAATAGAAAAGTCTATTTTTTGTCCCAGAATCCTCTTCAAAATTGTACTTGCAATTCCTTTCCTTATTACTGAGCTCTTTCAGGTCACTGTAGCACCGTTTGGAGTAGCCCAGTAAAGTTTTACTGACTAATCACTGAAATGCCCCCCAGCAAGACTCCTAACATAGTCATACCTGGATGTGAGGTTCTTTGAGTCAGTCTCAGTGTGTGTTCTTTATTCGCCCATTCAACAAATACATATTAAACCTCCACTAGGTGCCAAATATTTTGGTGGGCACAGGGAAAAAAATGGTGAAGCAATATGGATAAAAGTCATTGCCCTCATAAAACTTACATTCTAGGAGGGAAGACAGCCAAGAAAATAAGCAATAACTATAAAGTGTGTTTTATACTATAATAGTGGAAGTATAAGTCACATCAGAGTCTGGAATTTAGTTATTTAATTGGCTAACATCTGAATTGAAATCTAGTAAAACTGTTCCATTATACAAATTTGATTTAACAATCCCTAAAGTCTAATCAACAATATTCTGTTACACCTTTATTTTATAGTTGGTGGGTTCAAAGTGGGATTGGACCTTCTTGTAGAATTTGAATTCCGCACAACTAGAACCACAGGAGTTCTCCTGGGAATCAGCAGCCAAAAAATGGATGGAATGGGTATTGAAATGATCGATGAAAAAGTAAGCCATCAGCTGTCGAAGCATTTCTGATTTCTTCATGATATTTTTGTTCAGATGTAGACCTTTATTTTGAATCTTGATTCTTTGTTGGTAGAAAGCTCGATTGTTCTTTTCATTCTTCTAGATTATCTCAATTATTCATGGTTTCAACACACTTATTCTGTGGACCAATGTAAGCTTTAAATGTGCTAATACTATAGTAAGTCAAATGGGTTAAATAGTAATGGACTGAACAGGTTTAGATCTCAAGCTCTTTTTGTATGACCAAGTTATTCTCTTTGTGAACACAGCCTAGGAAACTCTTAATTTTAGTTGAGGGAAAAAGGAAGGGTCTTGGATTGTCTAAAATCAGTCTTTTCCTCTTATAGTAACAGGTGGCTAGCTGACATATTGGTTTCTCAATTTTTATTTAAAAGCATAGATACCATTTCAAAAAAGAGGAAATTTATAATAAATTTTATTAGTATAAATTAAAATACTTTGTAAATTTGCTTACAATGGATAATCTGATATAAAAACCTTTTTACTGCCTACGAACAGCCACCTGCAGTGGGACAGACCTGTTTGTACATACTTTATACTACAGGTAAAATGAGGAAGGCAAAGCAAGAAACTTCACAAGTTTTCTTTCTGGTTATTAAATTCAAATCCTACTTCAGTTCTGTTCATATTTCCATTCACAGGGTATTGTTGCCTCCCAAGAAGAAACACTGCATCGTGACTTAAAACATGCATTCCTTTCCCTCCTCCCTCCCTCCCCTGTCTTCAAACCATCGTCAAAGACAATACAGCAAAAAGATCCCAGAGCACAGAGGCTGAAAGGGGAACAAATAAGCAATGTTTAATAGTTTTGCCAGATTTTCAAAACGTACTTTTCTTATATCTTGTTGGAATAAGCTTCATTTCATCACCTGCTTATAATCGCAGTTACTATCAACTTGTCAGTGAGTGTATCAAGTTCCATAATGATGCATGTGGATTTCTCACCACGCTCCCTTTATGTGCAAAATCCTGTTATCACAAGCTCCACCTAATATAGTAAAATCTTAAATCATAATACCATCACTGTATAGTTTACAAACCTTTCACCTATTTACTTGTACTTTTAATCTTCTTTTAAAAACTCCCATTTCTTTTACCTTGCCAAACGTGTTGCCCGATTGACTGTTTTTAGTATTTCCTTATGTTTCTTTTCTTCATCAGCTTCAAAAGAATTCTGTCATCTCAAATTTCAGGGACCGTTCCATGTTACTGAAAACAGATTTTTCTCATTTAGACAAGAACTACCAATCTAAGTTCTTCATTGTTAAGAATTTAACCAGCCTTCTGGCTCAGAGTCTTTGGCACCTGTGACATAAAGCCTGCTCCCCACCCCCCCAAGTAATTTATGTAACTCTCAATCCAGGGTATAAAATGGAATCCATAAAGGAAAAAAATACATATGATTAAAACACCAAAGCTTAAATTGAAAAAAAAAACCTTTTAAATGAATTTGTAAGCCAAATGAATGAATCACTCAAAACATCTTTTAAGAAAATTTTATAAGGTTCACTAAGAACTATCATAGCCTAAAAGATCCATGGTAGAATTTTCCCTGTTTATACTAGGTCCTTTTTTTATCAGCTAGTCTGAAATTATATTTCACATTTTCTAAAAGCAGAATTACTACTAGCCTCACACATCTTGCCTACTGCTCCCAACAATGCTCAAAAGCAAAGAACACAATTTGTGACTCCAGGTCATTAAATTATTGTTTCAGTTTTTGTGAAGTTTTTTTTAATGCCCCAGTTATGTTCATTTCAAACTATTCCAGCTGATGCCTTTCCTATAGACTTGACAGTTTTTATCATGTGACCCATCATGATACCCTTCTAATGAAACCGTCTGACTGTTCAATTTCCTGCTTTCTAGATTATGTTTCATGTGGACAATGGCGCTGGCCGATTCACTGCTGTCTATGATGCCGGGGTCCCAGGGCGTCTGTGTGACGGACAATGGCACAAAGTCATGGCCAACAAGATCAAACACCGCCTTGAGCTGACAGTAGATGGGAACCAGGTGGAAGCCCAGAGCCCAAACCCAGCATCTACATCAGCGGACACAAATGACCCTGTGTTTGTTGGAGGTTTCCCAGGTGAGCACTGTCTAGCTCGATAACAATTTCTTTGCTATATTCAGTTCATGATTTTTAAAATATCTATATTTCTATAAATGTATCTAAGAATGCTTAAGTGTGCCTGCTTTCTAGCTTTAGAACCTGTTCCCATAAATAACACCTTATCTGAAATTCCCAGTGCATAAAATGAGCACATTACTTTTCATTATACCCCCAAAGTTTCATTCATGGGGCAATGGAGGATATTTGGCTTATAAAAGATATGAGGCATTTAGCAGTGATCAGGGCCAGAGTTGGTGTTCTTTCTGATTTCTTCAATATTAATATACCCAAGGAATCATAAAATGTTATGGAACTTATTTCCTCAAGTTCTGGAAATCATTGGGTTAAATGTAGCTAATTTCCCCCATAGGTTATTTTAGAATTTATATTTATATTACTAGGAAACCCAAGTAATAAATCTGCATTTGAAATTCCTCTTCAGCACATTAAAAATAGCATGGGAACCACAGAGAGTTACCTCAAGTGCCTATAAACAAGAGGACCCAACTTGAGGAGAAGTAAGCCAAGTGCCTCTTAATAAGTGCTGTAATAACACAGGCTCTTAGAATGGTCTTTCAGCCTTTTGGCAAGAGAAACTATTGTTCTCATTTATGGTACACCTCTGCTTAACAAAACAAGCAAGAGGTGTATTCAGCAGTGATTGACTGAGGAAAAGACACAGGAATAATGAGGACCAGTTCAGAGCTCTTCTTTCCAAAGTTGATTCTCTTTTAACAAGTGGGTTTTAACAAGACCCACCTCAGCTTCAGGATAAATCCCAAGAGAGTGTAAAGGGGATAACGTATTTCCTCATTCACAGTCTGTGAAATGATGTCCTGTTAGCACCTTGTAGACCTGACGAGAGAAGGGAATCTCTCCTCAATGGGAGGAGGATTTTGTGTGAGATTTCAACCAATTTAACTCTTGGAATGTGTATTTATAATGTAAGAAAGGAATAAAATCCACTAAAAGCCCATATCTTAATTCAGTACTTGATCAATTGCTTTGTTTTATTAAATCAGATTTAATCATCGTAAGTCATAACTATGAAAGTGTTACAAATTTTAAAATTCTAAGTCCAAACCAATTACTTGTTTGATGTCTTAAAATGTATGCCTTCAAATTTTATACCGCTATAAAAACATGCTCTTACATATAATGGCTTCATTTCAAAACTGAGCCCTCCCGGCTTTGTTTTTCAGATGACCTTAACCAGTTTGGCCTGACAACCAATGTTCGGTTCCGAGGTTGCATCCGGTCCCTGAGGCTCACCAAAGGCACGGGCAAGCCCCTGGAAGTTAATTTTGCTAAGGCCCTGGAACTCAGGGGCGTTCAACCTGTATCATGCCCAGCTAAACAATAAAAATAAGTTTAACCCCAAGAAGTTTCTTCAAAACAAGTATATCAAGTAAAACAAATATATTTTACCTGTGTATGTTATTAAAAGTAATTTGTGCATGTATATTGAATTATTTCTATATTCAAATGGTGCTAATTCAGACCCCAGACTGAATTTTAATTCCAGTTCTTTCTCAAATCGATGAATATTAAACCACCTATTTCATTCTGAATAATCACTTGTTTTGTGTGATTTTAAGGATAAAAGGCAACTGACCATAAATTGTTGAATTTACAACACGTCCTAGAGTCATCTCAAGACAAGTTCAGATGTAATTTGTGAAGGCAACGTTTTGTTTGTTTGTTTGTTTTCACTAACTCCCATTAATACTTCTATCATCCTTTTCCATGTATGTCAACTTCGGCTTTCCGTCCAGACCACTGAAAACAACAGTGGCTTTAGCACATTTGACTGGGAAGAAATCAGCTGCCATACTCCCTGTGTTTGTGAAAGCATTAGCAAATCATTCCTGTGATCCAGGTTCATTAAGAGAGCGTTTAACTAGCTATTTGAGTGAATACATTTCTATGCTGAAGGTAGAAAATGTAGATCAGATTCAGGCCAGAGAGCTTATTACTTGATTTTCTTGTTTGAGAATGATTTATAGGCTTTGGGTAGATACCAGAACTACGCTCCAGAATGACAATTAAGCACACATTTTATATAACAGTGTTGAGGCTTTGAGCTCTAAGTTTTTGATGAATTTAACAATCTGCACTAAGAGGAGAAAAATAATACTAAAATTAATGGTTTACTTACCAAAAGTCAATAAACCAATAACTTAAAAGGCATATATTATTGAATCTTTTTAGTTACACTGTGACCTAAAGAATTCATTCCCTACAAAATGTTGTGTTTTGTGCTTATTTTACCCAGCATTTCAATGATCTTCAAAAGGGAGGGCCTGTGAGAAGAATGGCCCCAATCATATTCATTATCTTAAGAAGAAAACATTTCATTCGCCATATTCAGAAGAAATAGTTGTAGTCTAGTAATGTAGAACATTGAACAGAACAACTTCCCTCACAATGGTAATTTTAACCAAAGAAGTGTAATCTTCAGGGGGAAGGCAGGTGCTGTTTCTAATCACGGAAATGGCTAACACACTGTTAGCATTTCAGCATCGGCCAGGTGCGTGATATAATGTGTCCACACATCTTCATTCCCCCCAGTCTAGACCAAGCACTTCTCAACCACGGCTCCCTTTTGGAATCATCTAGGAAGCTTTAAAACAAACAAACAGAAAACAAAAAAAAAAAACACAAAAGCTGGTACTCAGTCAGGAATTTGGATTTGGTCTAGGACGTACTCTGGGCATGAAGCCTTTTAAAAGGCTTCCTAAGCAATTCTAAAATGCCATCGGGGACAAGAACCACTGTTCTAGTGGGAAAAATTATCTGCTATGCCAACAAAGAGTTGTAGTCATTTGAGAATCCTACTGTTAACTTCATCTTGACCATTTCCATACACCTAAATACACACACACACACACGGACATTACTGAATCTAGTTAATGCCTAACCTTTACATAATAAAACTCTTTGAAAACCAGTGTGTTTTGAAAGGGAAGACATTACTTTGTACTGGACACTGACATGACTTTTGGGCTTATTCTGGACAATGAGGGAATATACAGGAATAGAGATGCTAGGTTCCTAAATTAAAAGCTAATGCCTTTCTTTCCTGAATCCTGAACAGAAAGGCAGTATGAAAGCTGGAGTACCTAATTGGCATGCCTATCAGAGATAAACCCAGCTGAAGTCAATTTGTAGATAAGTGCCTTAGAATGGTAGAGTTGGAACAGCTCTTTAGATCAATAAATACAGTGATTCTCAGCTCTAGCTAGACATTGAAATTGCCTTGGGCACTTAAAAAAAGAAAATAGAATAAAATCTTGCATCTGGATATCAGTCCAGACTTTAAGGCATAATCTCTGCATAGGGCCTTGCCTCTGGCATTTTCTAAACAACTCGTTTATCCTAACGTGCAGTGGAGGCTGAGGACTCCTGGGCTGCTTCTGCCTCCACATTTTCGGGGGTAGAGACTAGAAGGGACCAGAGAGGTTTGATGGTGTGCTCAAAGTCTGGCGTCAGTCATGTTTCCAAGTAGACTCAAGAAAGTTGATCAAACCCCAGCAGAGTTCACTGAAGCAGGTGTTGGCTACATTTGTCTTGTACCAATCCATACTCCAAAGTGGAAATTTGATAAAAGAGAAAAGTTTCTCTAGCATAGTTTAAATTCATTTTCTACCTCAAAAATTAGATTAAATTTTTATTCCAAAAGATAAAATGTTTCCTTCAACCAACTTTATTGCCTCAATAATTTCTTCATCTCCTGTCACTCACAGCAATCATGAAGAAAGCTGAATACTTCTCACTTATTTTCCAAACACATACTCCTACCAGGTTGTCAGCCTTCTTCTTTAAGAAGGTGCTTTGTACTTTAGAAGAAAAACATTTTTAAGGAGAGTTTTATTGAAGTTACCATGGTGAACACCACCGACAAAGGAAAATAAGGAACAGAGCAGATTTTAGCCCCAAATCGCCAGAATATTGTCAGACACTTAAAGTTTCAATTAGTGATTTTACAAATCACAACTATTTTCTTCTTTGATTTAACGTATTATCCCTAACTACAAAACTCTCCTACATTTTCTGCTTAACGACAGAGGAAAAGACTACTTTGACAAGTTGAAAATCTCTTGATTTTATGTGTGAATTATTTTCTGAATTATTTTGTATATAAAATTGATTTCCATGATTAACATGAAAACAAAACACACCAGTGAATTTCTGCAAGCAAAGAGTCATATTCTTTTTCCTTACCACTTGCTAAGGATATCACTTACAGCTGGTGCAGCTTTTATCTCTTTTTCAATGTCTTTTCATCTCTGTTGAATCAAGAGAGAGACACAAACACAGATACTATAGTCATTTGTCTGACTGAGGTTAGATACCCTAGACCTAAGGAGCACCTAAAGGGAAGGGCGGCACTGGTTGGGCCCTTGACATTCAGGGCCCTTGACATTCAGGACAGCAATATTCAGAGACTCACTCTTTGGCATTTGTGCCAGTTACCTATGTGAGAATGACATTGGTGCCCATTACTGAAGTGTAAGTGTCAGAGCATGAATGATATCCCTCCTAAATTCATATTTGGAAGTTCTAATCCCCCAGTATTTCAGAATGTGACTGTGTTTGGAGATAGGGATTTTAAAGAGGTAATAAGGGTAAAATAGAGTGATATGAGTGGGCCATAATCCAACTCCACTGATGGATGTCCTTATAACAAGAGAAGAGGACACAGACAGGCATAGAAAAAAGACCATGTAAAGACTCGCAGAGAAGGCAGACATCCACAAGCCAAGCAGAAAGGCCTCTGGAAAAAACAATGCTGCCGACATATTGGAACTCAGGCTTTGAGCCTTCAGAATTGTAAGAAAACAAATTTGTTGTTTAAACCACTCAGTCGGTGGTACTTTGCTATGGCAGTTCTAGAAAGTTAATATAGGGCCTTCCTGCATAAAAAAATAGATTACTAAATCATATGTATATATATGCATACATACACACACATACCTAAAGCATTAACACATTTCAGGATCTCTTAAGAGTGACATGTACATCAGAGAAATTTTGAACAGTGACCATTACCACTTATGTAAATAAATAGAAAAAAAACAATATTCACAATGTAGTTGAATAAAGAAGTTGTTTTATATGTGCTTGGGGATGTTAGGAATAGCTATACAGCAATTATAAATCAAAGAAATAACATTCTACTTAACACTAGCTATTGAACTTTTCAGTAGAAATGATTTTCGGGAGAGCTGTTGTATATTCAGTTTAGAGAATATATTCATTCACTCTTGGATAGATCAAAGTCTGCTTCATTATGGAAAGTTGACTCCCTGGATCCTTTTGTAGGGACACACTTAGATGAAAGAGGTAGTAGCAGTAGAGGTGATGAAAAGTAATTAGATTCTGATGTTTGAAGGTAGATTAGTGTTTCCTAAAATAGTGCCTATGGAGTGTGAAAAATAAGGTACTGATAACTGCTGATCATCTAAAAGAAAAGAGTAGCCAATATTCTGGGATGGAGGATAGAGGTGGATTAGGCTTTTTATGGAAAGGAAAGCCAGGAGTACAGTTGTAGACATGTTGAATTTAAACTTGCTGTTGGATATCTAAGTGCACTGTACTGTAGGCAGCTGGATATATGAGTCTGGAGTTCAGGAAAGAGGTCTGAACTATAAATATAAATATGAGAGTCATCAGATTGTTGATGTTATTCATAGCCACAAGACTGAATGAAATCACTAAAGGAGTGAGTATATGTGGAGGACTGCGGACACTTTAACATTAGAAGTATTGAGAGTACAGGTGTTAGAAAAATAATGCAGAACTTGAAAATAGGCAAAAGAAATCATTGGGTGTTCTTTCAGTGCAGTACTGGGCCTGACTTTCTACTGACTGGGCTTTTCACAGCTCTGTAGGGTCAAAGTTTTCTTGTAGATTTCTGTGCAGTAGAGATGTAAATAGTTTTTGTCTAATGGAAGTGATAACCCCAAAGGTAACAATTTTCTATTCATAAAAATGTTTTCCTAATATTCATGTGTGTGTATGTGTATCTTCTCAAATGCTTTTTAGAACAGTTTTAACATCTCATTAATTCTCTCATTAACTAATGAATTAAATAAAATTTTTGAAATGTGTTCACATTATATTTTACTTGAAAGTCAATTTAACCTTTTGAAAACAAACTCTACTTTAGCAGGAGAGAAGTAGAGCAAAGAACCAGTTGAATTTGCCCCGTTCAATTTAAAACTAAAATTCAGGCCTCACAATTTGTTCATTTATGGTTGAATTTTTTCAATTTCCTCATTCTATGTTTCCATTGCTATATTCTTGCAAAGTAAATATTACTTCTGAAAGTTAAAATAATGTTTAAAAGCTTAAGAAAAGAGTTATAGCTATATATTTTACTTTTTATTGATAATTACTCTCTCCTGAAAGCTCAGTCTCAGCTTTTCTGCACATGCACATATAAATCATCTTACTTGCTTGGCAATGTTGGAGCTAGGAACAGATCATTTGTGGCCAGAGGCTGCTCGTTTGAGAGATTTTAGAAAAGTCAGTGGCATGAGCCAAGATAGGCCATTTGTGTGGAAAA